AAAGGATTTTGAGCGCTCGTGCGTCTCATGGATGGCTGGCGAGTACCTTCGCTACCATGGCACGCCTGCTGACGAGCCTGGTTGGAATACTTGGCGAAAGGAAACGATACCCGCTTTTTCATGGAACGAAGGTTCTGCCTCCGGAATGCCCAAATCAACTTCTACGCAAGCTGTTTTCGCACCTTCTCCCAACCCCGGCATCTACTCTCCTTCGATGTCTGGATCTACATTCTCTCCAAACCTAGGCACATTCTCCCCCCGGCCAGGCGACGATCCCAAGATGGCATCTCTAATGGAAGCATTGGGGACAGGATTGCAATCCCCTGCATCACCCATGAAGCCTCTCCCCCAACGGCAGCAGCGCCCCCAGCATCCATTCACTGATCCTAAGCAGCGCGTATGGACATTACTAGCGCAAGACGGCTTCACCCGTGAGGTGCTCTCACTCCTTGACCCCACCGCCGTCGCCCATAGTTTGAGAGTCTTCCATCAACGTATTCTTCAGCAACTTCCTGACAACCTCACAGCCGACCATATCTTGAAGGCAGACAGTGATCCCAGTGCTTCTCCAGATTCAGGTGATGGTGCACCAGCCGGCTCGTCGCCGTCAGCAGCACTGTTTGGGAGCGACGACCGGCCGCACTGGCTCACACGACTACTTCTCATGCAGATCTTAGGTGCTGATTCATCGTGCAGCTCTGAAGTGGAACGCAGTGCGTCGTCACGCACGCATTCGCGCTCTGAAGTGATATCCATGTGGGCGAGGATTGGAGAGCTTTGTCGAGTTGCGGGTGATGAGTGTTCGTGGATGGCTATCTCTACTGCGCTGTGCTCGCGTCCTGTCGCACGGCTTAGCAAAGCGTGGAGGCGAGCGGATCGTCAGAGTATCATGTCTGTGGAGTCGTGGATCTACCCTGGGGGTGATGGGCAGGTTGCGCTTATCAATGGGCCTGTTTTGACGCCTTGGGGTGGGGAGGTTAGGGATCGAGCGAAGCATCTCCTCGAGCAAGCTAGAGAAGAGAGGACGGATGAAGTGTGGGCGGCAAAGCCTCTTTTACAGACAAGGGACTTGTTCGAGGGCTTTCGGACGAAGATTTCGTTATGCCCTAGGAAAACCTCGACGGACGATCTTCCTCAGGACGTTGAGAAGCTCCTCAGCTTTTGGCAAGATTTCGTGGAGGAGAAAGGTAACCAGTCCTCGATATTAGCGTCCAAGTTCCAACGGTATGTTGAACAGTCGATATCCTGAGGCAGAACCAGGTTGATTTGTGAATAGGGCGGATCAATTCATGTCACTTTCGTTAGCTGCAGAACCGAGGCGCAAAGGATTGTTTGAGCCGTTTTTCTGGTCGCATTCCATGTCTACGCCCCATACGCTTTGTCATCCCCTTACGCCCCTGCTATTCGTAGATCCGCTGCCAACTGTCACACTCCTTGATCGAGGACAGATTTGGCGTGGCCGGCTAGAGAGTGGACCGACGAAGCTCAGTGTTGACGAGCTTCAGCGTCTCCGCGGACTTGATGTGGCGCTAACTCCCGCATCTCGTAGGGCGGATGCCTCGTCCAGCAAAGATAAGCTATTCAACATCGGTGACGTCGACATTCGGGAGACTGCCATTCCTGTTTATGACGGAGAGCTTCTCCTCGTTGCTCGCAGCGACCTAGATCCACTGTCCTCATCTCGGTCTCCTTCTCGTCCACCATCCAGACCTCCGAGTTCTATAGTCGAGGGATGCAATCTCGACAAATGTATGACGCGTTCACCTTCTATCCGTGTAAAGCCTGGATCATCTCAGGGTCTCGAGCGGAAGAGCAGCGTCGCACGTCGAAGCTCATTGCCTTCTATATCTTGTCGACCGAACGCTATGGTAACAGAAGTATCGTCAGAGAGGCCCATCCGCGTCATTGTGCAAGCTGGAACTTTGGACCGCCTAGTCAATGTCCTCGTGCATGGCCTTCAGGGTGTTTCAGTAGCTGTGGCTGATGATAATGGTGAGACGTCTTTAAGGGACGGCAAAACCAGGGACCTTGTCGTTGATCGGGCTGAGTTTGCGCGAGTATGGTGGCATGTGTTCCGGAGTTTTGTGACGCCTATCGTCTTTTTTGAGGTATGGTAGTTTCTTTTCTGCGTTTGAGATGGCTTAATTCATATATTCTATAGCTACTTCGTAAACGCTTCTTAAGCAGTCGACCCTCCAGCCAGCCTTCCGCAAACAGTTATCTCCACGTAATACAATTTCGTTCGGAAGTGCTCGAGGCGATCAAGGACTGGATAACGTCTGGAGGAGGAGCCCAGGACTGTCTCGATGATGTTCAGCTGTTTGAAGCTGTGCGATCTTTCCTGGACAATCCATTCGATCGCTCTTCCTTCGATGCTCCCACTACGATTGAGAATGACGTCAGCCAAGCTTGGGACACTCTTGACAACGCTCGTCAAATAACACACACGGCGTTCACAACACAGACTCAACGCCCTCCTTCCGTCTTCTTAGGTGATACCCGACCGCTAAAATCTACACTTCGGGTACGATCCTTTGGTAATCAACCACCGGACCTTGATGCGATCAGTGCTGATGAGCTCGTCGAGAATTTGAACGCTATGGGTTCTGCGGCGTTGAGTAATATAAGCGAGGAGGTCAGTCCTCCCCTCACTAACTTCCAATATGGTTGTTCATTTTCCTTTCAGGACCTTTTCATCACCGCTGATCTGTTAGAGGTACAAAGCGCAGACCGTACCGGCTGGTTTTCAACTCGGGAAGTTCCGTCGACAGATGACATTGACATACAGTCCATGTATTCCCACCTGACGGACGTTCAGCCATCTTCGCTGATATCCGAGCTTTCTCAGGATACTATCTACCGTCTCCTACCGCCTAGCATCCGCAGTTGTATCCGTGCCTTTAATATCCTTCGGAAATGGACGATTTCGAAGCTCGTCACACCGAAACTGGGGATCCGACTACGGCAGGCGAGAATGGACCTCTTCCTTCGAGCCATCGAGATTGCCCGTCTAAGGAGCATGAACGCTGGTTCTGTGTCCTTTGGGTGTGGGGACCGATCTTGTGTCCGGTCTTTCGTCGAGGCTGTCCTAACCTCGGCTGTTGTTAGTTCAGAGAGCCGTATGCACCATCGTCCATGGCAAAATATTGCGAATATTCGGGGGGTTCAGTGCGATAGTCTCGTAGGGCTTCTCTCAAGACCGGCTATGCCCAAAAAGTCGTATGGAGATGTTCTCGCTGTTGATGTCAGCTGGATTCTGGAACGTATACTGGAGTTGGTGAGCATACCAAATGTGGTCATGACGTCGGGCGAGAACGATCAGTGCATCATAAACTTAGATAAGCGCAGGTAAGTAAATTATGGCTATGAGATACGGTCTGCTGACAGGTTTCCAAGGCACCTTTGCAACCTCATTCTGACTACCCCGTCGCTCTCGAAGAGGAGCCGTCCCCGCGAGGACGTCGACAGGAAAGACTTTGAACGGTTGAACAACATCGAGAGAGAGATGAACTTGATTTCACTCGACTACCGAAGTATCAGAGACGAGGCCCAGCGGGAAGCCCTACAAGCTCAAGGCAATGGTTCGTCATCTGTCAAGAAGACCGTACGCCCATTCCAGAAGCTAGTTGCAGCGCAACAAGAGAAGTGCAAGCGAGACAAGTATCTCCATGACCGGCTCAGCAAAGATAAAAAGCAGGAACAATTGCGCAATGAGCGGAGAGATGATCAAATTAATAAGGCGATGCGGTCTCGAAAGCCGATGACCCAGGTTCAGAAGCAACACCGGATGAAGAAAAGCTACTCCTCAGCGTTTTTCCAACTGATGAGGCCTATCTCTAGTGCATTTACTGATAGCATGCACGCTACTGCATTGAAGCGATCGCCCGCTGAATTGGACTTCTCGCCCTCTGGTAAACCTTCTTTGGTTCTTTCGGTCGTTGACGCTCGAGTTGCCCAATTTATCAATAACGAGAGGTCGTTCACATTCCAGCTGGACACCGAAGACGGCGGTCATTATTTGCTGCAGGCTATTTCTAAACAAGAGATGGTACGATGGATCGAGCAAATCAATCGTGTTGCGAAACTTGCTGCTAAACGCCGCTTGACGTATCTTGGAAATTCACCAAAGCCGCAACTCGCAGACCATATCCATGACCATCCATCAGCTCCTACAGCTTCGCGGGATCCCAGAGCTGGTAAGGTATTCCATGTTCTCTATGTCCCTGTCTCTCATACGTTTCTAGTCTTTGGAGTCGAACTGGAGTTCCTTGTCGAGCGTGAAGCTAATGGAGCACACCCCGAGATTGGCTCGATCCCGTCAGTTATTCTGACTTGCCTGTCTGAAGTCGAGTTCCGTGGCCTTAGTGAAGTTGGCATCTGTATGTTCTGGCATTGCTTTCTCCTGTAGAGGTCTGACTTTTCTTTTACAGATCGTGTCGCTGGTGCTACTTCTGAAGTTAATGCTCTCCGCGACGCCTTCAACAGAGGTATGGTTTCTATCTGAAGTGGCTTGCAGGTAATTAACTGATGATTCGCTAGGCGAGTGGCCTATCACCTCTGATAATGATATCCATGCCGTGTGCGACTTGATCAAGTCATGGTTCAGGTTACTCCCTGAGCCTGTCTTCCCATCGTCATCCTATTTCAACGTTATCGAGGCAATGAGTACAAGCTATCCCATCGATAGTCTTTTTTTCAATGCTCATGTTCTTGCAGAGCTCGAGAATCTTAATGCGCGGCTTGCATGTATCCGGAGTGTTGTGCACGGGCTTCCTCAGGCAAACTTTGATCTTTTGAAGAGGATCGCCGAACATCTCGATAGGTGAGGTTTTCTGCTTGTTTCTTTCGTTAGCTGCATGATATTGATGCTACTACTGCAGAGTAACCGACTATGAGGAACACAACCAAATGACCGCTGAAGCCCTTGCGATAGTTTTCAGCCCCAACCTCCTTCGTGCACCACAGAATGACTTTGCCCTGATCTTGTCGAACATGGGACATACCCACAAACTTGTGAAAGCCCTGATCACTCATGTACGTGACGTGACACCACTCATCGTTCCTTCACTGATGCTCGCTGAAGTTCCATGTAATCTTTGACGACGAGCTTGAAGCCGACCATGACGTAGAAGAGGATGAAATGGAGGAGCCTATCCTCGAGGAGGACGAAGAAGAGGAGATAGACTCTCCAGCTGCGGGCGACGAGTCATAAACCATGGACGCTCATGTATACCGTCACACCTAACCCCTTCATCTACAACGGACTCATTGTTATCATCATAATCCTTTTGCATTCCGTTCTCTGGGTCACCTACGACCGTTCGCGGATATCTATCATGGACATTGTACAGTACCACACTCCCACAGTATTCTCCCTGCTCATCCTGACGCTCTTTTTGGCTTCATCCATTGTTTTTATTTCCATTACTCGTGACGTTTCTGGTCTGCGTAAAATTACTGTAAAGCAGTCTAGATGCTCTCGTAGCACTGTCCTAATCTTCATCCCAGTCACTTGCTTGTTGAGGGGTGATGCTGAATGTCGATTGATCCCATCCTCGAACTGGGTTTGATAGTAGTGGTGCAATGGCATGAAGTCCGAGGCACACGAATACGCGACGACGTTGGACTTTTGCACCTTTTCGCTGAGGACCTGGATGGTGGAGTTATCTGTCGGGAGTGCATCCAGGACACGCTGGAGGTGATAATGGCCATTGGAAGAGAGCGCCAGTCTTGGTGGAAAAGTGAAGGTTGGAGGTTGGGGAATCAGAGGATGTGGTGACTGCGTAGAAAGGGTCGACGACGTTGACAGTGCGTAAGTTGCGTTCGGTGGGTGCGGAAGAATTAGAATTGAGAATGATTGGCATCAGGTGTGTCAGTACAGACTATGATAATAGCATGATTGGACTATAAGCGCTCGAGATTCGAATGTGGCCTGCTAAGCGCTTGCGGCCCCGGCTGCGTAGAAACTTGACGACCTTGATGATGCGTAAGTCGCGTTCTGTGGGTGCGATGAGGATAATCAGATTCAACGCGCAAGCCGCAGAGAGCGGTTGAAATGCGATAGGCCAAACTTGCACTCACCGACTTTGGAGTTCTTAGTCAGCACAGCTTCGGAAGATACATAACGGCAACAGCCGCTGCTTGCCTATTTCCAATTTGCGAAGCACATTTGCAAAGTTTCACCCAAATTGGGATTAGTGATGCGTTCACTGCACCACCACGCGGTGTCTGTTGAGCGTCTGTATCCAACTGCAGACCAACCGCTTAAACAATGATATCGCACAGTTGCCTTTCGTCACCTTGAACTCTGTAACCTAGCACAGTTAAAATCTACTTTGATTACCGAGGCTTTCTTTTTGTTTTATTTCGCACCGTTTCACTCAATCAAGGGTCTTGGAGCGAGATCAAATATCCATCTCCATCATGCCGATTTTGGTGATACGAGGGCTGAACGGTGGTATATCTTGCAAAAATGCTGTCGTTATACACCACTAACCTTTGTAAGGATTCCATATTCTCTACACGCCGACCCACCTCAGGCAGCACTTCTCGGTGCCTATAGGGGGTCTAAGAGACCCAGTTTCTATGTTATGGGAAACTGGTCTCTAAGACCCACCCTCCCACCATCTAATTATAGCTCATGCTCTTTCATTCCCTTGCAGGCCTCCAGCACCTCTTTACGAGCCTCCATTAACCATCCCAATAGACCTCTAGGACCACTCAATACTACTTCTACCCTCTCAAAGAGCCATGTGACACGTGGGAAGAAATTCCCAAAAAACTGAAAAAAGTGCCTGCAGCTGCGGGCACTTTTTTTGCATCTGAGGAAATTTGTTCCCGCGGTCCAAAGGACCGGGCATGCAGCTCTGAACCCTAAAGTGTGATTACAGATGTGGAAAAGTCTTCCTCTCATCGTACTCAACCAACCAACCTCGCGTCCACCTCGTCCCAGCTCATCTCTCCTATTACACCTCCTGGTACATATTTGATGATCTATGATGTTTGTTTGTTCACATAGTTTGTGCGTTTGTTTGCCGTGGTCATTCATTCAAGTCGTTCATTTGCATTGTTTGTGTGTCTCTGATCTAGGTGCGCACCTTTTCACTTGTTCTTGCTCATTCTTGCTTGTTTCTGCTTGTTTTCACTTGTTTCTGCTTGTTCTTGCTCATTTTACCTGTTTTCGCTCATTTCTTGCTTGTTTCTGCTTGACCTTGCTCATTCTTTGCTCATTTTTGCTTGTTTCTGCTTAGTCTAGCTCGTCTCTGCATGTATTTGCTTGTTTCTGCCTGTAAATATGCAAAAGGTCAGGCTACACCTCCACAACAGCTCAGGATGTGTTTACTGCCAGAGTGTCGTGACATTGCCCTCATTCGCTATCTCCTACTGCTACCTATGCCAAAGAGCAACCTCCTGCACCTTCTACAAGCCCCCGCATGAAAGGGCAACCTCATGCAACCTCCTGCACCCTCTCGCTGCCCAGTCACGCCCAACCAGGACTGTTCACCACCCTTTCACTAACCTGGTTCCGCCCCGCACGGCCAATCACAACCTTTCTCAAGCTCCCGCTGACCTGGCACTGCTGCCACGACTTGCCATGGTCTCCCTCTTCCCACCATGCTCAACCTTGACCTCCTGCTGCCCACACCGATCTCCTGTAGCTACTTAGCGATGTCCCCGTGACCTTCCCGCAACCTCTTGTTACCTTGGTGCGCCCTCGATGGGAGGTTTAGTGTACGAATTTGTACATGTCTGGTAGTTGATTTTGCATGTAGACCCAGTTTCGATGTTGTGGGACACCATCTAATAATAGCCTACAGGATTAGCTCCTGCACCTCCAGCGACCCTCCCATGAGCCTATAGCACCTCCTGCTGACCTCCCGTCCTTGCTTTTGTAGCTTTTGGTGGCTCGTTGGTGGGCTCCAGCGGTATGCATGATGGTCTTGTAGGGTCGTCTGGGAGTTTCTATTTATGTATCATAACTAATAACCAAAGTACTTGGCACTGTCTGGCGTCTATGGTCTTTGTGCACGCGAGTTGACTCATTCTTCTCACCATGACACCAACTAAATCCCTCAACAACCGTAAAGCTCAACTCGTTTCCTCTGGCCTTGGGCAACACTTTGTAAGCCCGAGGAAAGCCAGAGATAAGAGAAAAACTCAAACACTTGTCGAGTTGCCTGGTGCAGAACTCAAGTGGTGTCGCCTACTTGCTCAAATGCAACGACTCTTGGATCATGCACCCTCCTCAACAGGGTCTTCTTCTTGTACCGTGTTGGGTGATCGCGCTGGTGAAGTCCATAACATGAACATTCTGGATGACTTGGATTTCACAGGCACTGATGTTGAGACATCGGAAGGAATGGTTTCTGATAGGCCCGCAGATTTGGGCTGCAATCCTCACAAGCGGCGTATTCTCCCCGATAACCCGACAAATATATTATATGAAAACTGGCGAACACTCATACCCACCCTCGTGGACCCGCAATTGAAGTATTATGCTCGCACTATAGGCCAAGGCTTGGAGAAGACTCACAAAGTGATCTCAGCATGTGCGACTCTCACCTGTGCACAGAAAAAGACCAGTTTATTGTGCCTATTCTTTGACAGTAAGTACTCATGCTTTTGGCTCATTGGATGAGCTAACAAGTGCAAAATGTATCAACAGGATTTGAATCAATTGATGTACTCAGCTGTGAATGCTCCAGCCTCCCACAAGCCCTCCTTCATCACGGTGTAGGGATTCATTTCTGGCTGGGCTTGTAGAGACTGTTTTTACCTTACCTTATGTTGGCACTTTTGTAGCTTACATAAGCAAGTTATCCTTTCACCAGTTACCAGTAGGAGTCAGAGTACTCAGCAAGTTTTCATGATATTTCCTCTCCTCTGAGCCTTGAGCCTGGTCCAGAAACCCTTTAGGGTCGAATAGCAGCTAGGTTCTGCAAGACCCAACATTGTTCAGACTCACTCTCTGAATAGTTGTACCTTCAACGGGCTGTTCCCTACTGCACCCTCACAACCTTGTATGGCAGTATCTGTTGATCTACTTTCATTTTACTGTGCTCTCTTTGAGCGCTCTTGTGATGCGATCAATGCTCTTGCATCTGCTCTTAAAACACACTATTCACGCCGAGGTTTTGAAGTGACTGACTCACGGGTAAGATACTAGTATATCCATATGAAACTGTATCACATTACTGAACTATCCCAAAGGGTGACATTGTGCAGGAACCATTCCGTCGTGGTCTAGGCTATGCTGTACAGTGGTATGACATCCTTCAGGTTGAAATCGAACAGCAAGTGGATGCAGTCCTCCAACGCAGTCGAGACTGTGTGGAAAGTCACCAGTCCCCACCACCGCTTACTGTAATCAATGAAGAAAGTTCGACATCAACTGTCTTACACTTTGGCCGATGTGCACCACTTATCGCACAGCGCTGTCCAGCATGCTTTGGTGGGACACTGTATGGCAGACCTGTAGATCAAGGCGGGGACATACATGTTGCTACGGATGGCAATTTTCATCATCACCACCGACGTTCTGCGGGTGACTGTCCTCACTTCTATGAACCGACTTACTTCCTTTCAAAACAGTCTGTTGATGCAGTCGGGCGCCGAATTGATGCACAATGCAAGCGACCTCCAAAGCTACGCACATGCCTTGTGCCTGATGAAGCTATTGACCAATGTGAGAATGCATATGAAGCAGCTGATGGGAAGAAACAAAAGGCTGCAATGGACAGCTTTGATGACACGGGAATAATGGCCCTCATTTGCCGTCATGATATTCCCTTATTTTTTGCCAACATCGATTCTCCCGGAGAGCAGCAGAAGTATTCAGTAGCACTGATAGAACACCTGTTCACATTACTTCCTCCTCAAGCCACAGTTGTTACTCTCTATGATGTAGGCTGTGTTCTTGCTCGGTCTCTTTCAAAGGTCTGTACACAATTGTAATCAGATTCATTCACTAATTATTTTCAGTTTGAGATTCTCCCCCTTGATATTGTCTCATGTCTGCGCTTTGCAACTACGGCTATGCATGCCTATGGTCATGAATGGGCCTGTCAGCTGGTGCATAATCCACGGATGTGCATAGGCCTCAGCTTATCTGATGGTGAGGGGACTGAGCAGCTATGGTCGCAATTTGTTCACTTGATTGGTGTAGAAAGGTCATCATCGGTGCGTTACATTTGGTTCTACCGAACAATATACTAATTACTTTGAGTCATTTAGCGCCAGCACCGTCTATGGTTAATTGACTGTCAAGCCACTGCGATAGGTTTAGAAATGAAAGTGGACCTTGGAGACTGGATCAGACACTGTCTCAACCGGTGTAGAGACTCATGCCTCTCATTGCATGATATGGCAGTATTCACTAGGGAGTACATAGCACGAACTTGTAGCATCACTCTGTGTGCTATCTGCAGCTATCCCTATATGAGGCGCAGCTTTCCCATGCAACGCGCCTCACGCGCGCACCTTTCCCGTGCTTTACGATGTATACGCGCGCGCGCTTTCCCGCGCTTGATCGCCCTATAGCGCCAGCCTTCCGGAAGCATCCATCCACTGTCCACCAAGCTCTCTAGTGCGTGTATTTCCATTTCCCTTATTTACATATCATCCCACCTTTATTTATATCATGGACCCTTACTTACATATAGTTTTACATACCTTACTCGGTAGCGCTTCGGCTCCGCGTGACAGCGCTTAGGCGCCGTATATAAGCACCAGCATTACATACTATTAGGAACTTTCGAACTTTGCACTCGACCTCCCACTTACCCACTTACCACCTAGAGAATATAGTTGCAATCTATTCTTTGACACCTCGCGCTCGTATCTCTTGTTATTCATCTAATCACCACTTAAGCAAACTCACACTTACTCTCACTTGTCTCCGCTCACGCGCGCGCGCGCTTCCCGCGCCTCGCGTGTACCTTCGCTTTCCCGCGCCTCGCGCGCACCTGCGCGCCTTCTCGCGCTTCGCATTGGCCGACCAGTAGCGCCTTCAGCGCCTACTTCTAGAACCTTGCTGCACTCGCTTCCCCTTTAGGGTCAAACACACTTGTCTTCTCAAGAATAGCAGACTAGGCAACGCGCGACCTCACAACATTATAGATACAGTTTGGAGCATTCATTTGTTCCTCTCAGTATTGTTGTTTCTACACCGGGGTATCAAGGCCCAGAGCTCTGCTGCCCTTGACATCATTGATCGCTGTGAAACATCTGTGGAGGACCTACAGGCTCAGTGGGCTGACCAGTGACAAGCCCAGCTCTCGATTCGTGCTCGTGAGCAAGCCTATAATATGCACACACTGGGTATTGATGTTGAATTTTTCTAGATGCTCCTGCTCGTTTCAAAAAGGAGCTAGACACTGTTCTTGCTCTACAGGCTGACTTGGACGTGTCAGATCGAGCCCTGCAGACTACTAGGACTATGCTGGAGAGGGAGGTAGCATCCAATGACACCCTCGATGTCCTTGAGAGCCTCCAAAGGGGCCATGATCGTCTCATGACTAAAGTTGAAGCATTATACTCTTCACTTAATGTTCATGATAGATTCCCCGAGCTCAATGGAGTCAGTCTTGACTTTGTCCATATCCTTCTTATGACACGTGATCTCAAGATCAATATTCGAAAGCGTGCTATCGCCAGCTTTTTTGAATGGGATAAACTTGATCGTGCTGTAGGTGGATCCCACCAAGCATTAGGTAACTCTTTGTGTATGACTGTTCCTTCATTCTAACTTTATTGTTCAGGGACAAAGCTTCATCAACACACTCGCAAAGCTATAGTGAAACGCCAACCTGCTCTCATGACAGCGATCAGAAAATTCAATTCTTACTGTGAGCAGTTAGAGTCATTCTACAATCCTGCTTGGAATATCCCACTTCCTACTCCCCTCCCGACCAAATTAGCTGAACTACATAGTGACCAGACATTAATGCAGGATGTCTGGGTTACACCCTCAATTGGAGAGGTACCTCGATGGTTGGAAGACTCAGACATCAGGGACGGAATTCGTGCCCTTCTTAAACATGACCAGTGCAGGGAAGAGCAAAAACACTTGGGCATGGAGGCTGACAATTTGTGTCGCTTCTTTGAAGAAGAGCTGACAGCATTGGAGCTTTCAATCCGATTGTCCAAAAGTAAGTATGGTTCTCATTACCTATTTGTTCAAGGTTTATTAACAACATTTCTTATTTATAGATGAGTGCTTCCTCATTTCATTACAACAGAGGCACTCCCATTTTCTCAGACTTCAGGTGCGATGGTCAAATGCACTAGCATCCTCTGTTCGGTTTAGCAGCCGTGCAAAAGAGGCACTAGACAGGGCTATAACCTACTCTGGAGGTCTTCACAGTGCCTCTCTTCATTTGACCAGTGTGACGTTGCAGGATCCCATTCCCGAGGATGAGGCAATACTACTTGAGGCAGATGACCCCACAGAGGTTGAGCCCGAGCAAGCTGCCCTTGCTGATATCCTGGAGGGTGATGGTGCTGGAGCAGAGTTCCACGAGGATCAAGACTTAGTGTCTAATGTTTGTGCTGACATAGTGTGGGATTGCCCCGAGGTACGTCAATATTGTTGATAGGCTCAGTATCACTAATGTATTAGTAGGGTCTCCTAATTGACGATTTCCATGCCCCATCTCAAGATTCGCATGTCTTCGTGCCTGGACACATAGCTACTAGAACCACATCATCAACTGGAGGCTTCCCTTCCCAAGTGTTTGAGCCGAGAGACATAGCATTTCTTACTCGTCTGACCACATTTCTCAATGATGTATGTATCAATGGTTGTGCTGTCCTTCTGCAAATGGACATGCCCAATCCCGCTGTGGCTGTCTTCTCCACATACGATCTTCCTCGCATCCGCTATAATGCAGCCGATGATATCCTCTGGCGCAATACATCGTGGACACGTTATTGGGAGAAAGATGTGTGGGTTCTCCCGATTCATAGGCCATCTGATGTCGGCCATTGGGTTGTTTGCGTCATCTACTTGTCAAGAAAAGAGCTTCATCTCTTCAATAGTCTAGCTGAACGGAAACCATGGAAACAGGATGTCAAAGTTGGTTCACTTCACTTTCATGCAATGTTCATTTTGACGGATTGACAGGATATCATGAAATTTATTTGTCGACTTCTGATGGTGGCCCGTCAACAAGATAAGAATGTTCATGTTGATCTGGATGGATGGGCAGCTCGTCCATTGAGTGTAAGTTCAATATCATTTCTCACATCTAAGCACTCCATTTTTGACGATTCACATAGGTCAAACCCCTTCAAACTAATGGTTATGATTGTGGTGTATGGGTATTAGCAACAATCATTGCTGTCCTACGTGGACGACAACTTACGCAACTACGAGGACAAAATGAGCAATCTCCGACATTATCTATGTTCTCGTGTACTTTCTATACCAGTATTCTAGCGTGCATGAAGGTTGGAGCCAAGTTGAATTAGTAAAGTAATACGACGTCTAGACATATGGATTCTTCCCAGCAATTAGCAAGTCCTTCTCCATTTGATAATGTACAATCCTTCGTGCTACCCACTGGCAGTAGCATTCAGCCATGATCTTATGTCTCGCACTTGCCTGCAAGTGGGAAACACAAGTGTGAAGTTCATCCCAGCCTGTAATCCAACTCTTCTGCATGTCTCAAATCTCCTCGAGAAGCCTGTTACTCTCTCCCATGTTATACATGGCCGTGCGGTGTGCACAAGATTTCCTTTCGACCCGTAAATAATGTCCATGCATTACATCTACAAGATTATGTGTAAAACGCTCTTCCTCTGGTGAATCAGGCGGATCAGGAAAATCATAAGGAGGTGGTTTGTCCCATTGCAAGAGGTCGGATTCGTCAATCAAGTTTGAACCAGCAAGGGATTGACGAAATAGATAAGAATCAGGAAGGGGGAGAGCCGCAAAGTGAAACAAGGAAGACATCAGAGGCGCTTCAGACAGGATCTTGAACGTATGAGGTCCATGTCGACCATAACACTTGGCGTAGGCATGAGCATTCTGAGCTTGCTTCACCATTTTACCTCTATAATAGTGAAAACATGTGAATCAAACTTGGACTAGAGTTTTACAATGCTCACCTTTGTGACTGAGAATATGATTCTCTACATTGTTGTGAGGCAGCTGCTTTCTTGTCTAATGTGAAGTATTTTGCTCGCCTGCCCATGATAATTGGGGTAAGTGGATGAATTGTGACGATGGTACCTAACAAGATCATTGTTGCTATGAAGTTCATACTACTATGCTGCCCTGTTGGTTAGAGAAATACAATACAACCATTGACCGGGGTGTTCTCTTTCAAAATTTGGTATTAACACAATGGGGCGTGATGTTGGAGCCCATGAGGCAAGTTCAGACACCTTGAATCCTAGTAAATGCCCATATGTTTGTCTTTTTAACTCAGTACGATTTATATATTAAAGCTGATTGGCTCATAGATGTCATTTACACCTCACAGGAGCCCTGCAGGAGCCTCTATTGAGCCTCTGTGCAAACTCGTAACCCTCTTGGGTGCTTGGTTCCTACTGACACTAGTACTCACTACGTACTCTGTGCTCAATTACTAGTTTTGGTAAGTCATGTCCACTGGCACTTGGAGTTTGCTTGGAGTCAAAAGTATTTTTGCCCCTGACACTATCAAGCTCGTAGGTGGCTCAAAAAACACCCTGTTTCATCTATAACATCAAGCATACGTCCCACATCCTCCTGGTCCTTTTCTCCATCTCTGAGCTGGTTCCTACAGCTGCCTGGGGTCGCATCCTTCTTGGTTTGGGGTGGAACATGGTGTGGTGGCAGTGCCTGCTTGTGTAAGTTTGTGCGTGACCAGCAGGTGATCAGTTCTTCTTCAAAGTTCGAACTTCTCTAATTATTATCCAATGTTCCAAAGATTTCTATGGCCTCTTTTGCATGTTATCAATTAACTGTTCTCATACCTTGTTTGTAAGATGACTACAACCATATCTAAACCATTGCTTGTTGATGCTGCCATGCAGACGGACTCGCACTCATTTACAATTACTCACCTCGTAAGTTCTCTAGTCAGTTTCATATCCTGAAATCTGCTGATCGCTTCTAGCTCGTGGATGCAGCAGTGTTGACAGAGGACTCAGGAGTTAGTGGGGTTACTGCCAGTCTCCAAGTCAACAACGGATGGAAGGCTCTGGATGGTATTCCTTGTATCATGGGTGGCATAACGGCCCTTGCTGGTAAGTTTCGTTAATTCTCTTTTACACTAATCTTGACTTTATTTCAGCATCTGTTGGTGGCACTCTGCATGGCCGTACTCAAAATGATTTCCCCTGGAAAACCCTACCCAAAGAACTCGCTTGGCTCGGATGTTACCTTGTGAACTACCCTGACGAAACTTTGATGCCAGGTGAGACTCAACCCATGCTCACTTGGACCAAAGGAATTCATGATTTGACCTTCTGTCATCGTGCTAATCTCGTCAATGCTCTCAAGACAGGCACCCTCACTATTCAAGCCGTTACAAGCGATGCTGCCCGCACACGCCTCATGATGTCCAAAGACCCAATTATTATTGGAGAGGCACCCTCACATCGCTCCATCCACTCTCGTGGGCGACGTGCATTCGCTGATGGTTACATTGACCAAAAAGGACCTCACCGTCTCCCCTCACCTCCTGCTACACCTTCCGCTCTGATACACCTACTCATCCTGCTACACCTCCTTCTCATCCTCCCATGCCTCTTCATTCTGCTATTCCTGCTACCCATCGTCGTGTCCAAGTCTTTGTAGAGATATCATGTCCACCACCCCGGCCAGCTTCTCGATCTGTGCATAAATCAATACCGCCATTGTCACGCCCGCCACCTCGGCCAGCTTCTAGAGCTGTGCACAAATCAACACCGCACAACATCACTCATACTAAGAATCTTATCCCACCAATAACTTTTGTTGAGCGGTCTTCATCTGACCATGAAAGTGTCACTGTGGACGAGGACTTATATGTTAGCGAGAGTGATCGTCGCCCTGCCAAGCATCTCAGACATTGACTGGTATAACAGCAAGTAATTGAATGATTTCAAATGTAGATAACGTGTTAATACAACAGTTCTTTTTTGAAATTGTACTTCAATTTCTGATGTATGGTATCAGATCTCATTTTGATTCAAACTCAGTAGAGGTAACACAGTTGGTTCATCAATGTTGTCCTTAGTTACAACACAACATTCATTTTGCAGCCTCTCCGCAACCTCTCTGTAGCCTCTTGGGCCTCCCCAAACCCTCCCCTGCTTACCTGCCTCATTCTCTATACCATCTTCAGCTACTGCCAGTGTCTTGGATCGCAGTTACTGTTTCTGATCGCTCCTTTGTTTCTGGTAACCACTTCAATTCGAAGTTATTCAGGAGTCATCGGTCACAAAGTAAGTCAGTTGTGCTTTCTAATACTCATTTCAGCCTTTCTGACACAATGATACTACAGTCTGAATCTTCGGCTGCACTGTTAGTCACTTTTTCTTTCAATTTTCGCATCATCCGTCATATTTTTTCAGCCTTTCAGACATGATGGTACTGCCAGTGGGTCCAGACCATATTGGCCACAAAGTAAGTCACTTGTGCTCAATGTTATCCATATTCACATCATTCTCAACATTATCCGTATTCACATCATTCTGAACCCTCTTTTTAGCCTCCCAAGCCTCCTCACACCCTCCCTCACACCCTCCCTCACACCCTTGCTCACACATTTATGAACTTGTGTGTCTCGGTCACTATCCAAATAGTTTTTAATGTCTTGTACGTTTGTTAGTTCTACCGCACCATTCTAACTTTTTTTAGTCCGAATGAAACTATGGAAAAATATAGCACTGAGGGACCCCTCATAAGTATCAGGGTTCTGGATTTTTTTTTGTGCCCCTTCAGAATTCTCATCACATTTGCTCTCTAGTATTTCACATATAGGTAAGGAGGTGTGCGCTCACATACTTCTTCTATCACTAACTACGTATCCAGACATGACACAAAACAACCCCGATAACCCATCGTCTCCTCACTCGAGCTACATGGGCCTCCCAGATACCTTCGATTATATGGCTGAACAATTTGGTGGTGGTCGTCAATGTGCAACACCACCTGCTGAGCTGACTCCCTCACGACTCAGGAGTAAGCTCAAGGCCACAGCACGGGATGTTGGCCTTGTCAAAAGCACAACTATCCGCCGCCAGGCCTATCAACACACCACCACTGTGGGTGATCAAGATCCCGTATCTATGCACTCCGATGCACCAGATTTCACCCATGTGGTGCCAGACAATAATTCAGCAAATGCAATGTCATCTCTAACAGTCCCCATAGGTAGTTGACATGCCTCACCGTTTCCTGCCCCACATACTCCTGCACAGATCCAGGATGTTTTTTTGGTTCTATGAGCCAGCAAGCTGTATGGATGGATCCCAACTCCTCTGACACCTTTAGCATGGCGGGGGCTGAGTCTTTTTTACCCGGTGGATCCCAACATCACCTCATTGCACAGGACATGAACCGTCTAGCACCACCATCAAGTTTTAATTTTCCTGCGAGTTCATCAGGTCAAGCAACAACCTCTCGTACAAGTTCCCTGGAGCCTCATGGCCAAACTCCTTCGGGATTTATGCAGGAATTCTCTGGTGAAGTCACACCATTCATCCTTCAGCCTGTTCTATCATCATCATCTCAAGATCATGCACCTCCCGTCCCAGCCACGAACATTATTCCGCCAATGCCATTCCAGACTAAGGCCGCCTCCTCAATGAATACCATGGGTGCAGGTACTGCTTTTCATGAACACTTTCCTGAAGAGCATGAGCCGGTGACCCGTCAAGAGGGACATACAATTACTGGATGGAGGTCTGCAGAGTTGAATACAGTGTTAGATGTTGGGTTTACTGCAGTCGAGCGCTGCTTTCTGGATCTCTCCACGTCTACTACACTTCCCATTTCCCAATTGATCAACTTGTTCTTGAAGAGTCGTGGACGCACCGTGAATGGTACCAATTATTGGAACTTGTATGCTAACTACTTCAAAGAGCACATGCAGACAGAACTTGTGCGCATTGGCAGAGAGGCCCCAGCTGGAGGTGGCACACCCAGTAAGTACCATATTACATCTTGTTTCACATGAGGTTTATATTCCTTACAGGTGCAACCATGCGCACTCAGTGTTATGACAAATTCAAAGAGGTCTATCCCGATTCTTACCAAGACCTCCTGTTAATGCACGAGGAGGCATCACTCCTTGGATCATCTACTCAAACGATAGCTCAGCGTGGACAGGGATTCCAAAAACACTATCAAAGAGTAATACAGATTGTACATTATCTCACCTGAAATTTTGTCATCATCTCACATTGTTATCATAGCTCGAGTCTGCCTCTGCTAAATCTGGCTTTGAAGCAGCCATCGTCCTATGTGGCAAAGTAGTCAATGAAGATGGGTCACTTGGCCATTCATATAACACGCCAGGTGCTGCAGGGGTAAGATTCTTTGTCGTCTAAATCCTCACATATACTTAGAAAGACACAGTTCTGGAAAACACGATGCCGTGCGAGCAATGATGCCATCATTGGGCATCTTAAAGCACACGTATAGTAAGTACAAATATATCTATGTTTATGCTATGACTGACACGTGTCTTCAAACAGTAATACCACATCCTTGGCCAAAGTGGATGAAGCATTCCATGACGATACTCACAGTGACCCATTGACCCCCCACTCACCTCCAAACAGTCGTGATCAGTCTCAAGCTCCTGAGGGATGGGATGATGGTTTGAAGTGGGTTAAGCTTGAGCTTATAAAACAAGTTGGTATGTCAATGTGTCACTGATCTTTTGATTCATTTGACTAAACATATACTAGCCCAGCTTGGGGGCAAGTGTGCCTGGGATAAAAACTTTCCTTGGAAGGGCATGTCCAGCGCGCTTGCTGATGCCAATCTCTGCATCAAGGGATATCCAGCTGATAGGTGTCTCTTGCCTGGTGAAGCCCACAATGAGAACTCAAAGAATAAGGGCATTGGAGTGCTGACGCAGAAGGAAATTGCGGTGCTCATGGAGGCATTGAAGTCAGGAACCATGCAAGTTGTCAAAGTCGACAAGAAGTATTGAGGTAAGATTCTCGTTGTAAGAACATTCTAATTCTAATATTATGTACAGCATCCGTTATGGCATCTGAGAGGTCTGTTATCACAGGCATAGCGCCTCCATCTGACTGGTCACATGCTGGTGCTAGACGACTGTTTGTTAATGGCGACACGGACTACCATGGCCCAGCTCGTATCAAGCCCAGCAATGCGGCTACCAAAGTTAAGAAGGCCGATAAAGTGACAAAGGCCCCTCCACCACCTGATGCCAATGACGATGACGATTCAGATGATCATCATCTAATGGTACCTACTGCTCGCAAGTTCAGAAAACCCACCATGCGATTAGAAATTGCGGCACCACCAACATCGCGTCCATTTAAAGTCGTTACACTGCCACCCTCACACCCACTCAAAGTCACTCCAAAGCCAGGACCGACTGCCACAGCACAGAGTGAGGTGATTGAACTCACTTCGGCTGGAGAGAATGCCGCCACAGAGTCTGACTCTGAGTATGAAGAAGCACACAGGAAGAAGAGGAAACTGAAGTCTGTGAACACATCGTATGCATCAAAGAAGCCAGCCCCATCCAACGAGAAGGCTGCATGGCTGAAGCAACCCAAAACGCTGTAGAGACTCATGCCTCTCATGGTGTGATATGGCACTTTTCACTAGAGAGTTCATTGCACGAACTTGCAGCACCATTCTGTGTGCTATCTGCAGCTATCCCTATATGAGGCGCAGCTTTCCCGCGCTTCGCGATGTATATACGCGCGCGCTTTCCCGCGCTTGAGCGCCCTATAGCGCCAGCCATTCGGAAGCATCCATCCATTGTCCACCAAGTTCTCTAGTGCGTATGTTTCCATTTCTCTTATCTGTGCATCGTTCCACCTTTATTTTTATCATGGACCCTTACTTACATACATATATCTTTGCATACCTTACTCGGTAGCGATTCGGCTCCGCATGACAGCGCTTAGGCGCCATATAAGCGCCAGCATTACATACTGAACTCACTTTCCAACTTTCCACTTGACCTCCCACTTACCCACTTACTACCTAGCAGAGTATAGTTGAAATCTATTCTTTGACACCTCGCGCTCGTATCTCTTGTCTAGTATCTAATCACCACTTAAGCAAACTCACTCTTACTCTCTCTCATTACCGCTCACACACGCGTGCGCTTCCCGCGCCTCGTGCGTACCTTCGCTTTCCCGCGCTTCGCATCAGCCGACCAGTAGCGCCTTCGGCGCGCACTACTAGATCCTTGCTGCACTCGCTTCCCCTTTAGGGTCGAACGCACTTGTCGTCTCAAGTATAGCAGACTAGGCAACGCGCGACCTTACAACATTTTCAGATACAGTCAGGAGCTTTGTTTGTTCCTCTCAGTATTGTTGTTTCTACAATGCCTGCCCTACCAACATCAGCAACTTCTCCGATGAAGGGTGGCCCTCTGTCCCCATTGCTAGTGGGGTCATTGAGTGTGGCAGCATCGCCAGAGCCTGAGACTGTGGGTGAGTACCCTTTATTTTGAATTAACTTTACTTGACTCAAGGTGCATAGCTACAGCACCAGCATTCCTCCAGGATGGTCCCTCTAACGTGCGCACAAAGGGTAAGCTTTTTCAAAACAGATATTCTTGCAAAACATCTAATGATCTACCGTCTACTATCTACCCCCTAGTAAAAGCACGCCCAATCACAAAGGAATTCAAGGGTAAAATGAAACAGGCTCTTCGCATGGTGTACAGGTGCTTAGATGGATCTGAAGTTGATGAGGGTGAGAAGACAGATGCGGTTGTGAAGAGTGCTGTCTCTGCTGATTTAGATAATGTCCCCAAGGAAACACTACAGAAGGACTTGCCTTCAGAGGTGATACAGGATGACGGTGTAGGAATACAACACAGAGTGGGGCTATACAAAGATGGCTCCAAACTGATATCTTTATGTTGTGGTCTTGCACTGCCTAGTCTGCTATACTTGGTGAGACAAGTGCGTTCAACCCAGGGGTCTGCAGTCTGGGAATAGTTTTGGGGGTCAGTGAGTGATGTGGGGTCAATAGTCGGAGCGTGGGAAACAATGTCCGAAGGTATAATTACGATGTCCGATGCAAAAAGCGTCGGGTCCGATGTTTTCGGGGTTTCGGGTTATCGGGTTCGGGTTCGGGGTATCGAAAACTAATAGCAACGCTATAGCGAGCGTCGGGAAAGCGAGAGGTGTGCGCAATAATAACGATGACGGATACGGGTGGTGAAGGAACGATGATATCCGCAATGTCAACTAAGAACTACGAAATATCGGGTTTGACCCCTAAGCGTCGGAGAATGGCTCTCCTCTACTTGGATGATGGTAATGCTATGGGGAGTCCAATATTTATGTAGCTACGTAGAAGTCCGGAACCATGTAGGCGAAAGTAGTAGTGCAATATGTTCGGGTCCGATGTCCTATGTAATAAGACATGAGGTGCTGCGGACATGTAATAATGTGGTCTACAATGTTAGCGATGTGAAAACAAGTAACTACGCACCTAGTGGGGCTAGCAAAATGACACAGGACATAGGTAGGACGAGTGCGCTGAAGGTACAACAATTCAGAGAGTGAGTCTGAACAATGTTGGGTCTTGCAGAACCTAGCTGCTATTCGACCCTAAAGGGTTTCTGGACCAGGCTCAAGGCTCAGAGGAGAGGAAATATCATGAAAACTTGCTGAGTACTCTGACTCCTACTGGTAACTGGTGAAAAGATAACTTCTTATGTAAGCTACAAAAGTGCCAACATAAGGTAAGGTAAAAACAGTCTCTACAAGCCCAGCCAGAAATGAATCCCTACATCTCATGGGAACTTTGAATCATGACTGTCCCCAGTCATCTACCTATGCAAACCAAAGCTAAGCTAAACTAAGAAAACTACTAACCTGGGGGTCCTCAAACACCTTTTGTTTCCTTGACGCGTATGCCAGGTAAACTGCGCCAGTGAGTGAGGGTCAGGGCAATCCAATAAAACGATGACCCCAGCACCTGTTTTCCCTGACATCTCTTGTGCCAGGCGAACCACATCAGTACTGGGGGACTGGTAAAACGATAAAAACGATAAAATGCGAAGTGGTGGTTGCGCGGATGACGACGGGAAGTAGACGGATCGAAAGAGGCGAACGAGGGCTTCGAAATGAGTATAGGGTCGACTAGGTTTGGTGAAGAACTGAGGGAGATATGAAGGAAATGGTGAAAACATGCGAAAATAGCGAAAACGGCAAGTAGCGAGGGCGCGGGTGGGCGTATCAAGAAGCGGAGCGGATGGATGGAAAGCGGCGGTGAATGCGGTCAGAACGCGCCTAAGGCGATGGGCGCGCGATCACGGGGCGACGAGATATAAAGAAAACGCAAAAATGGGGCGCAAAATTTGGGGGGAACGCGAAAATGCGGATAGCGAGCCAACAGCTGAGCGCGCGCGAAGGCGCGGATATGCGCGAATGAAAGCCATGAACGAGGGCTTCAAAACGGGTATAGGGTCTATGGGGTTCCGATGCGAAATGGGCTGGTGAAAGTGCGAAAATGTGCAGAGGTGCAAGAGGGAGGAGGAGGAAGGGGTATGGTGCAGGGCAACAAGGGCTGGTCCTATCAAAAAGCGGATTGGGGCAATGGACAGAGCCACTGAGGGATGGTAAATGGCCAAAAGAGCTAGATGAGACAGGCCTTAGAGCACCCAGAAAACCCTTATCTCTCCTCAACTTCTCAAAAACACCAAAAACTCGATAACTCCACAACTACTGCTCCAAATTCGATGAACCAGGGCTCAAAATGACCGGACGGACGTGGGGAATACGACCCTAAGTTTGCGAGAGATCCGCTCGAAAACCGCGTGAGAAAAACACTTATCAATGCGCTGGGGAGGAGGAGAAGATGCTGAAAACTTGGGAATATGGGAGAAGCTGGTAATGAATGACTGTGGTAGGATAATAGGCGAATTTGGGGGATGATTGGTGAGCTTAGAGAGCCTAGAAACACAAGAAACCCTCGCGGTGGGCTCCAGTTGAAGGTACAACAATTCAGAGAGTGAGTCTGAACAATGTTGGGTCTTGCAGAACCTAGCTGCTATTCGACCCTAAAGGGTTTCTGGACCAGGCTCAAGGCTCAGAGGAGAGGAAATATCATGAAAACTTGCTGAGTACTCTGACTCCTACTGGTAACTGGTGAAAAGATAACTTCTTATGTAAGCTACAAAAGTGCCAACATAAGGTAAGGTAAAAACAGTCTCTACAAGCCCAGCCAGAAATGAATCCCTACAGCGCACAATATCCGATAGTCCGATGCGATGTCCGATAGTGCAAAGTGCAAAGTGCAAAGTGCAAAGTGCAAAGTGCAAAGTGCGATGTCCAATGTCCAATGTCCAATGTCCGATGATTTTCAGGTTTGGTGTGTATTGAGTTGGATATGATAGGGAATGATTGGGTAATGATTAGCATTCGACATGCATTGGAAATTAGACCTCTACGAGGCCACAGAGATGTCAGTCTCTACAACGGACCAGCAGGAGATCAGGAACCACCTCGAGTCACCAATCCCATTGAGGATCCTCATATCATCGATGACTCTCGTAACCTCCGTGACACTCCAGCCAATGCTCCAGCCAACCCACCCCAAGCTCATCATGAGCTCCCTGTCCATCATGACCCTCACAATGGTATTCAGCGAGGCTCTGACGAAGGTATCCAGCGAGACCCTCATGAGGGTGATGCTGTATGCCACTCACGGGAACCTCAACGTGAGGTAGTCGACAACCATCGCAATGATCCTTATGAGGGTGAGCCTCTTTGTAATCCTTGTGAGCCTCGTAATGATATCCTTCATGACCCTCAAGATACTCCCCATCATGCCCCTCGCGACACCTTGCATGATCCTCATCAGCCTCTTCACAGTCATTCTCGCGAGCCATGGTACATGCATGAGGCTGTGCATCATCATGAGGTCCACCATTCACGTGAAGATACCCCAATCACTGAGCGTGATGCTCTCTACCCTCGCAATGCCTTCTACCACCGCAACTCCCGCAATTACCACCATGCTGGTTTGCAACCTCATGACAATTATGGACCTGAGCCTCGTGCTAACAGTGAATTTGCCATGCGAGACAGCTCTCCGGCCTTGGAGGTATACCATGATGACCGTTATGCTCACCATGAGCATGAACACACATACCCAAGTTGATACAGTCCAGGACTTGGTCCTGACTATGCTCGTGAGAGTGGATACTCTTGACGTGATGACTTTGATGAATGGTGGGCATTTGGTGGAGGAACTTACCGTGACAATGGGTACCCTCAAGGCAGGACTCGTTACCGGGATTCCAGATGGACAGATCGTGTCCGTAATACTCCACCTTTGGACTATGTTCCTCATGATGTTGTGCCATGATCATTTAGTCGAGATCCTGTCAACCCTCCTCACCCTCCTCCATCTTAATTTTCTTTCAATTTGTGTGCACCTGTGTTCTTTTTGGACACTATTTTTGCTCATCTTGTGCTGTTTTTGTGTTTTTGTGGTGATGATTGTTATGATGGTTTGCTCGCTCCCGACTCGTCCTGTGCTAATCTTGCCCTGTCCCTCTCATACCCTACTTATGTTACTATGGAATTGTTGTTTTGACGTCTCCTTATTTTGACAATATCACTATAGCGGCTCCAATGCCTGCTCTTATTTGCATCAGAACACATTTGAAAATGCTGTGAATCTTAAGAATGATGATACTGGAGTGCAATATATATTATTAGAATATCATAACTACAATGAAAACAAAAACATAACATGGGGAGAGAGAACATGTGAGAAAATGACATAGTAGGTGTAAGTAGAAACACGTGAGATATGTCACGGCAAGGAAAAACATAAGCCATGTGCAAGGAGCACCAGAGGCTCTAGATTACATCATCAGGGCAAGGAAAAAATAATACATGTGCAAGGAGCACCAGAGGCTCTACTAGTAGATTATCTTGAGGGTAGTGGGACTTACGATGTCATGCTGGAGGCTCTAGATGATCTTGAGGGCAGCGGGACCTACAGTAACAAACTAAAGGCTCTCTAGAACCACATGGGACAACCAGAGCCAACCCTCTGATGAGACCTACAAGAGGATTTGAGGGAGATCCTCCTACAAGAGGGTTGTCTCAGATAGGGTTTGGTCCTACATGGAAACCGGGTCTGACAGACCGTGGGAAGCACAAAAAAGTGCTGCCAAGAGTGCGCCGACCATGCTTCAAAAACAGAGATGCTCGAACCAAAGTCGTCTATGGGATTCATTTTGATGCAAAGAGTGCAACTCTTCGCATCCGAATTATGTGGATATGTTCCATTGCATCTCTCTTTTTTGTTATCTCACCTTGTGCTCAAACTTCACGATACCCTTGCTTCACTGAAGTATTCTCACCTCGCCATATGCTCTTTATTCTCGTTCCAGCCTAGTCAAGTATTCGAAAATGTATATATACCGCTCATGTACACTCATACCTACAGTGAATCTTACAGTGAGATCCCCGCTCCAAGAACGATCGAAAGCTCCTCCAAAAAGTCCTCATCTCTAGTCCTTGTCCTATCTCTCTTCGTGTCACCTACTAACATGTCTCATATCTATCACATTTTGTTCACAATTCCCTGCCGAACTCATACCCAGCCTTACACCTCTTCCCCATTCGCTCACACCCATCCCTCGAATATGACCATAGTCTCAAATGATCCCATTTACTGGCCACATATCAGTTTCAATATTTTTGTAAGCTACTGTATAGGTTTGTCGCATCAAGATGTCTGGATCCAACATTGACTTGCGGTTTTTTAGTTGCTGCTGGCATCGTGGTGGTATATGATTGGGTGAGCAGGACAGTGTTCAAAAATCGCTGATGCTCTCATGTTATTTCCAGTCTTAACACTCGAACAAGAGGTACGTTGAATTTGTACCCACTTAGAGGTGGCAGTCCTGAGTCAAAAGACTCAGGCTGGTGTAGACTCTTGACTAGACCACCGGACATACACATTAATCATTGTAAAACGTGCTGGGGCCAGCTACATTGAGAATTTTAGTGACCTACATGTATAGTGATCAGCGCCACTGTACAGCTAGCTGCAGCCGCCCACAACACACTCTGGCTCATTCCAGCTTCTTTCTCTTCTCTCATCGGCATGATCCTGAGATTCTTGTTGGTGTACTTTTTGGTGGGCAACTTTGCACCATGCTGGTAGTGGCGCTGGCCCGCTGAAGGTACAACAATTCAGATGGTGAGTCTGAACAATGTTGGGTCTTGCAGAACCTAGCTGCTATTTGACCCTAAAGGGTTTCTGGACCAGGCTCAAGGCTCAGAGGAGAGGAAATATCATGAAAAACTGCTGAAGACTACTCTGACTCCTACTGGTAACTGGTGAAAAGATAACTTGCTTATGTAAGCTACAAAAGTGCCAACATGAGGTAAGGTAAAAACAGTCTCTACAAGCCCAGCCAGAAATGAATCCCTACACCGCCCTAGTTGTCCGCCGGCAAATTCTCCAAGACAAGAATAGCTCTATCGTTAATCGACGCGCTCTTGCACAACTTCCTATGCCTTGCCTTTGTACTCATAGGTGCTCGTCACGAAGAATATGAGGACTGGTGCTCCGTTTTCGATTTTCAGCCAAGGATAAACCACAAAATCATATAATATTCTGGACTGACAAGAATCTTGTTATCAACATAGATAGCACGAACTGCTGACATGATATCTAGTAGTATGCAAAGTGCCATCAAAATAAAACTTCACATTAACAAGACGAGAACTTATTAGGACATCACCATTGTCAGTGATTTAACGTCCTCGATGACGATCATGCACCGTCAACAATGCACGTGATCCCCTATCTGACTTCGTTGTTTCATGCTATTTGTACCCTCAGTGGTTCTTGTTCTTTAGTTCTTGTTCCAATAGGGATGCTCAAAGTTAGGTGCACACTTCACACACCGCACACCGCACACGACCCCCTCGCAAATGCACCCCCACCCAAAATGGTAACCTTAGATAATCGTCGGACTTTGGACTAAACCTTGCGGCACGCAGCGCCGAACAGTAGTAACTAGTTACTAGTCGTGAATTGTTCAAGGCAGCATTCCTAAAACCTTACCCATCGTGACCATTAACCTTGCCAATAGAGTACTTTGTTAGTATATTGTACATAAGTATTTTGATTATTTTAATCAATTCAAAGTCGTATTTCGAGTGATCACGTGATTCACATGATATATTGATATATGATATATGGAAAAGCACAACATCCTACTGAACAATATACTGCGCAGAAAGGGTTTAAAACAGGCCCGTAAGGTCTTGGGATGATGCATCAATGAAGGTTTGGAATTGGTTCAGGTAAGGTTTAGGAATGCTGCCTTAGACAATTCACGACTACTATATCACGTGATTGCTCGAAATACGACTTTGAATTGATTTAAATACTTATGTACAATATACTAACAAAGTACTCTATTGGAAAGGTTAATGGTCACGATGGGTAAGGTTTAGGAATGCTGCCTTGAACAATTCACGACTAGTAACTAGTTACCACTGTTCGGCGTAGTGATGTGCGGGCCCGGCTCGGCCTGAAAGCCCCGGCTTAGGCCCGGCTTTGGGGGGCTTGGGCTTTGCAAAAGCTCAGGCCAAGCCGTGAGCCCAAGCCAGGCCAAAGCCGCGGCTCGGCTTGGGCTCAACGACGGCTTTCAAGAACAAAATGATCTAAAATTCAATCTAAGCATATTTGTAACGGTGAGCAATCAACGACACGCGCTGTAGAGACTCATGCCTCGCATTGTGTGATATGGCACTTTCCACTAGGGAGTACACAGCATGACTTGCAGCATCACTCTGTGTGCTATCCACAGCTATTCCCTTACGAGGCGCAGCTTTCCCACGCAATGCGCAGCATGCGCGCACAACTTCCCGCGCTTTACGATGTATACGCACGCGCGCTTTCCCGCGCTTGAGCGCCCTATAGCGCCAGCCATCCAGAAGCATCCATCCACTGTCCACCAAGCTCTCTAGTGCGTATATTCCCATTTCTCTTATTTACATATCGTTCCACCTCTATTTTTACCATGGACCCTTACTTACATATATCTTTACATACCTACTCGGTAGCGCTTCGGCTCCGCATGACAGCGCTTAGGTGCCATATAAGCGCCAGCAGTACATATTATTAGACACTTTACTTTCCAACGAGAACTTTACCTCCCACTTACCACCCACATACTACCTAGGAGAACATAGTAGAAATCTATTCTTTGACACCTCGCGCTCGTATCTCTTGTCTAGTATCTAATCACCCCTTAAGCAAACTCACTCTTACTCTCTCTCATTACCGCTCACACGCGCGCGCTTCCCGCGCCTCGCGCGTACCTTCGCTTTCCCACGCCTTGTGCGCACCTGCGCACTTTCTCGCGCTTCGCATCAGCCGACCAGTAGCGCCTTCGGCACGCACTACTAGATCCTTGCTGCACTCGCTTCCCCTTTAGGGTCGAACGCACTTGTCGTCTCAAGTATAGCAGACTAGGCAACGCGCGACCTCACAACATTTACAGATACAGTCTGGAGCATCATTTGTTCCTCACAGTATTGTTGTTTCTACAGCGCATACCAATGTAAATCGGTACTCCGAGTCGCGCGTGAATTCACCCAGGTAACCAGGTTGAGAAGCTCCACCACGCCATTCCCAACACCACGAACGCCATGCGCAAACGCCCAGCGCACGTCAGCAACTGCTGATATGGCTCAAACGAGTGCGGACGACAGACGTGAGTAGGAGGAGGGAAGAGGATGAGGAGATGATGTCAGGGTCACGAGTGCTGAGGTAGACCCAAAGCAGGAGTATGTTGTAATAGTAGAGGTACCAATCGAAGTATAGGTGATCGAAGAGAACGCATCCCCACTGTGTGTAATTGGCGATGTCGTGCTTATGACATTTTTTGCAACTCCAGCGAAGCTTAGAATCACACAATAAGGTCAACACATTCGGTCATAGCTCTAATGACTTACGGTGAGTGAAGAGTAGTGTTCACAGGACTTCCGCACGGAGATTGTGGGATATGGGAAGATTGTGCACCTGGCACTGTTGTTGGAGAGCCTCTGGGGAACGTGGTTGGTAACGTGGGAGTTGGTGAATCAGAGGAACTAGTCTGCGAGGATTGCGGAGTAACGTTTTGGGGATTGTCTGAAGTTGACTGTTGGCTGGATGTCTGTTGCCCCGGAGTGGAAAGATTCGTGACCGACGTTGTAGATGGAGAAGAGGTTCTCGTGGTCAATGTTTCCGGTATGGATGGTAGAGAAGTTGGTATAGATGAAAGTAGTGAAGTGAGTATGGAGTAGGAGGTGGTATCGAATGGAGGGATGTACATGGTTGGTGGATTAGCTGGACTGACCCTGTTTTCATAGTTACATGGTCGCAAATATCGAGGCCGATAAGGGACAAAAAGCCACAGCCTGAGCCGCCGGCTCAGGCTTTTCAACACCTCAAGCCGGGCCCTGGGCCGTGGTCAGGCCCTGACTTGGGCCCGGCTTGGCTTGGCCTAATCAGGCTCGGCTTTGGCCGGCCCACGGCCTGAAGCCGGGCCGTGCACATCACTAGTTCGGCGCTGCGTGCCACAAGGTTTAGTCCAAAGTCCGACGATTATCTAAGGTTGCCATTTTGGGTGGGGGTGCATTTGCGAGGGGGTCGTGTGCGGTGTGCGGTGTGCGGTGTGCGAAGTGCGCAACCAGTTCATTCTTTCGAATGATCTTCAATGACACGTACACCTACTTCAATGTCGACTGAAGCCACTTATTTTATTTTATTTTTACTGATGTAAAACGTACACAAGTCGAATGGCATGAGGCCTGAGCCCGAGGTCTTCTATCAACGCTACAGCATTTTATTCAGGACTCTGGTCGAGGCGTCAGGAAAATTTGTATAAAAGTGAGCACATCCATCAACTCCGCAACGAACTATATATCGTGCGATCAAGCACTGTGCCAACGCGAAAGAGATAAGACTCACTATTGTGACATGCTCAGTTTGCCAAGCTCATCTGGACTTTCAAGGTTCCCTGCAGTACGTGGAAGAATTACCGGATTGCTATTGGTACAAGGCGCAAAGGTGAGTCGTGGGGTTGAATTTTGGATGCAAAGCGAATGACTCATACTCACAATAGGCCCACAGTAAAGGTCACCGCAGCATATGAGGCCTGTCGAGCTGGTCGTGCCACAAGCCTGGCCTGAGCTCGCACACTGTGCGGTGACAGACATAGATCTTGTCAAAGCTGCAACGACTGCGACGACTCGGAGGAATGAGAAATGCATGGCTCGTGCTAGGTTATATGGGATGAACAGTGGTTCTGATTCTGCTAGTGGCCTTGCTCTTATATCCTAGAAGGAAAAATGTGTTTGGAAGACGGTAAGGCTTGGCACTCGTATCAAAATGGTTGCGCCTTCTAGCGGATTTGACTTGAGGGTGAGAGTATAGGCAGAACCGAAGGTTGGCGGATAAATCATCTAGATCATGCGGATGAAGAACCACTGACAATGCAAGTGTCGTCCAGTGAGAATGAGATGTGTGTTGGCGATAGGATACCTACGTGTGCTACCAGTCGGCCGGAAGATATCGATTAGCCTGAGCCTCCGGTACTTGTGTCTCTCTTCGCTTCTTTTCCTTTTGCGAGCCTTTGTCGCATGTTGACACCTTCGACACCACATGTTATCTCCACCGGCGTCGTCACAGTCGTCACTGGTAGCGTCTTTCCGTCTCGGACATCTTGACATTCGATACTAGGGAAAACTGGATATGGCCAAAACAGTTGAGATAGCGTGAAATATTGTTTAGACATATAATTTATATACCTTGTAATATTCTATTATCTTCAACGACACGATCGTCTGCGCATCGCATCGTAAAAACATTATGTCGTTGTCGATTTGATGCATTGTCATGCTCTCCCAGCTCTCCAACACACTTGCAGCAACCAACCGGCGCGCCCTCTCTTTACCCCTTCTCATGGCCAACCAGGGCACGCATTGAGTCATCCCTGAATTATCCGGCGAACTCGACTTTCCAGACTCCATCCCCGACTCCTTGGTTTGTCGTAGTAAGTATGTGTACATTATTTTGCGGTAGAAATAGTAGAAATAGACTTTTAGATCATCCTGCTGCGGCTGAGTCGTTCCAGCTTCTTTCTCTTCTTTCATGGGCATGATCCCGAGATTCTTGCTGGTGTACTTTTTGGCGGGCAACTTTGCACCATGCTGGTAGTTGTCCGCCGGTGAATTCTCAAAGAGAAGAATAGCTTTGTCGTTCATCGACGCGCTCTTGCGCAACTTCCTGTTGCTTGCCTTTGGACTCATTTTAACGTCCTGACTCCTCTAGGACAAATTTAAAGACAACGTCAACGATGCACGTGATCCGCTCAGATCCGGCCGGAGTGCTTCTCTTCACGACGCTGAGACTTGTTCTTTAGTTCTTGTTCCAATGCCTCGACATCAACTCCTTTTTCAAATGAATGTCACGTACACCTACTTCAATGTCAGTAATTTTCTTTTACTTTTACTGATGTAAAACGTACGCACCTCGAATGACATGAGACCTGAGCCCAAGGTCGAAGTGCTATCAACGCTACAGTAATTTCAAGTTATTCAGGACTCTGGTCGAGGCGTCAGGAAAGTTTGCATAAAAGTGAGCACATCTATCAACTCCGCAACTAACTGCATATCGTGCGATCAAGCACTGTGCCAACGCGAAAGGGATAAGACTCAACATGCTCAGTTTGCCAAGCTCATCAGGATCCCTGCAGTACGTGGAAGAATCACCGGACTCCTGTTGGTATAAGGCGCAAAGGTGAGTCGTGGGGTTGAATTTTGGATGCAAAGTGAACGACTCATACTCACAGTAGGCCCACAGAAAAGGTCATCGCAGCATGCGAGGCCTGTCGGGCTGGTCTTGCCACAAGCCTGGCCTAAACTCGCACACTGTGCGGTGACAGACATAGATTTTGACAAAGCTGCAACGACTGCGACGACTTGGAGGAATGAGAAATACATGGCTCGTGCTAGGTTATATGGGATGAACAGTGGTTCTGATTCTGCTAGTGGCCTTGCTCTTATATTCTATAAGGAAAAATGTTTTTGGAAGACGGTAAGGCTTGGCACTCGTATCAGAATGGCTGCGCTTTCTAGCGGACTTGACTTGAGGGTGAGAGTATAGGCAGAACCGAAGGGTGGCGGATAAATCATCCAGAGCATGCGGATGGAGAACCACTGACAATGCAAGTGTCGTCCAGTGAGAATGAGATGTGTGTTGGCGATAGGATACCTACGTGTGCTACCAGTCCGGAAGATATCGATTAGTCTGGGCCTCTGGTACTCTCTTCGCTTCTCTTCCTTTTTCGAGTCTTTATCGCATCATGACACCTTCGACACCACATGTTATCTCCACCGGCGTCGTCACATGTAGTTGTCACTGGTAGCGTCTTTCCGTCTCCGACATCTTGACATTCGATACTCAAGTTCCTGTTGCACCCAGTACATTCAAAGCAAGGTAAAAATCTGAGACAACAAATAATATTGTACAGTACGGCATGTAATCACGATATCCGTGACGAAGGGGTGAGGACGAGAGCACCATCAAAACGATGCATATAAACATGATGTGACCTGTGAAGCTTTGAAGTATGAAACGACAGTTGGAGAGGGAGAAAGCACTCGGAAAGAACAAACGAACGGGGATGAGATCGAGGCAATGCGAAGAGTAGGAGAGGTTTCGGCACGATAGATGACATTGAATTGGGGATCATGTTGGACGCAAGTGCACCAGGGCGTCGCAACGGGCATCCTCGTCAGGGAGGTCTTCGATAGTCAGTTCCTAAATAACTCAACAAGTACAGTCAAAGGACTGCAATCAAGTACCAGAAGTCTACATTGAACTCGCGACAAATGAGTGACGATGTCAATCTTTGCATATGCCAACACTGCTAGGAAAAGTAGACTGCGACTCACGAAGCTGTCGAGAGGGCGTTCATCGATACAGTTACTACGCGCGTCTTGGCCCGGAATCCTTAGTAGCAAATCGTAACATGAGCCTGAGGGTCTTGATGAGTCTGCGATCCATCCAAAGTTGAGACTCCGCGACAACGAAAGCAGTACACAACGGATCATCAAGTTTCAATCCACCATATACCCTTGAAGTACACCCTCAAAGCATCCTTGGACCTCCTCAGGGCGAATGACAGGACCGTTTTCATAATTTCTAGATCTCGTGAAACTTCGCAATGGTGCTCAAGGTCCTTGCAGCGGCAGTCAACGCCGTGCTCCCATCCAAATACTATGTGCACGCGTTCATTTCAATCCTTGTCATTGTGGTGGTTCGCGCGTTCGCACGAGGGCGCACGACGAACCGTGAACGGGATATGCATGCTAGAGTAGTCCTCCTCACAGTACGTATGCTACCCTCCCACGTGCATTCGTATCACTCACTTGCTCAGGGAGGGTTCACTCCGTTAGGCCTAACGCTCATGCAGAACCTTGCTCAACGAGGCGCACATATAATTGCTCTCTCGCCCAAGCCAGTCCAAGACCCTGAAGTAGAAATCCTCATAAACCTCTTGCGATCGACCACCAAGAACGACCAGATATTCGCAGACGAATGCGACCTGACATCTGCTTCTTCTGTCCGCTCTTTCTGCTCCCGCTTCCTCACAGCAAAGGAGACTAGACTGGATGGTATCGTATTCGCACACGAGTATCAACAGTTAGGCTCCATCATCGGTCGCCAAGATTCTGCTATATTAACCCAGGAGAGACAAAACGCTTCGCTAGCATCGTTCTTAATTCTCACTCTTCTTCTCCCCATCCTCCTTGTTGCACCCGCAGAACGCGACATACGCATCATCAACGTCGTGAACCCTTTCTACGCAGCCGCCGCACCCTCTTTCTCCCCAACCTCCAAGCCACCCCCATCATCTCCAGTTTTTCACCAAGAAGGCTGGCGTTCCCTTCAAATGATTGTTTTCACCCGCCACCTCCAGCGTGTCCTCGACGCACTGCCATCTGGCGGGCAGGTCCCGAAGACAGACGACTCCACCATCCACGTCGTCAGCGACAAGGTGCAAAAGTCCAACATCGTCGCCGTATCCGTGTGTCCCGGACTCTCTAGATCAGATACTATCGCACCGCTGTTGAATGCAGTCCGTGGACGGAATCAATCTATATTCGGCATTGTTCTGTCAGATTCTTCATCTGATTTGAATACCTAAACACTGACGATTCTTTAGGTACATGCTTCTTCAACCGTTCCTCCGCCTTCTCGCGAAATCCACGACATCTGCTATACAATCCGTGCTACATGTCCTTTTTCTCCCAACACCTTTCAAGAGCAATGCCCGCCAAGGCACAGATGCTCCAGAAGAAGTGCTCAAGGCAGGCGCACTCTACCGCGAGTGTGCGGTTGTTAACCTGCGAATACAAAGCCCTGTAACGGCTGACGCTGCCGATGCGCAGGTGCCGGACGATGGGGAATTGGGAGGTGTACATCTTGGTCAGGCGGTATGGGAGGGCCTCGAGGATGCGTTAAAGGAGTGGGAGAAAGTGAACCCGCAAGGCGATGAGAAGGTTGGGTGTGATGATGGGCTATCCGTTGATACCCAAGGCAGTTAGAGGCGGGTGAGTTTGGTCAATTTGTTTATGACGACGTTGATGATGGATATATGTAGCATACGGACTTGTGTATATTGGATTAGAGGAAATGTCATCTTGCTTGGATACCATTGCTCCATCTTTATGGGATATTCTGCATTCAGGACTATTGACCACTGCTGCGGCATCACCCTCCGCTATGGCTCATACTATCGAATGTGTACGACATGATACCTCGTGAGTTATACATACTCCCTGTGTTTCGTTGAGTAGGAAGTTGCTAGCCAGTGCTCAGGTTATTATATTTGGGTGAATGAGAAAGTCAAACCATGCTTGGCCTGAGACCCAGCGCAACTTGAGTACCTTGCTGTTCTGACTCAGCAAGCGTGCATGGCGGACTGGCCTACAATGTAGGATGATTTTGTTGTGAACTACATGCACGGCATGAAGCGATGCTCCGAGTTGTCTGGAGCAAGGACTGACCGTAAAGTGATGGGAGCCTTGCCTACTGAGAACGTCTTATGGCGTGTTGCTATCCGCAGAGCTTTGCGGCGATTTTTTTTACCTGTGGCCTTGATGTACGTGTTTGAATAAATGGATTCAAGCTCAACGTTATCCCCCTTCTTAGTCTAGCGCACGCGTTCTTCAATGTCAAATGTAACAAGGTTTTGCTAATCTTAGGGGAAGCCCGACAACTACATCTATGTAGATGACCCAGTAATACTCAGAGTATGACAAGACACGTTTTCCAGAGCACGTTGGGATGTAGGCTAAATGAAAGAGTCGAGAGCAGAATGCGATCAACAGCAGCTGATCTAATATCCAACAAGCTTCTTCACCGAGTGGGATGATAATATATCCCATGAACTTCTCGAGCTATGGAGGGAAGCGAGTTGATTTCCACCCCATTAGAAGGAATCTCACGCGCAATCGAGTGTATATGTCAAATTCTCTTCCTTAAACGACGAGTCAGTGCGAAGACAGCGCCTCGACAAATATCTCAGTCGTGCTGATTCAGTGCCCTATTGATCGCGGCTTGTATCATGTTACGGTTCAAGTCATGGATTCAGATAGGACTCACTGGTCATATCTGAAACTCTGAAGGTTCCAACAGTAAAGTTGATGTTTGCAGAGCGCTTTCTAGTACAGGGAGATCTACCCAGTATGAGCAGTATTGGACAACCCAACAATGACGCAAGTTCAGTGTGTACGAGTTGTTTTGATGAAAAATGTTGATAGTGAAGTAGAACGATAGTAATGGATAAGCAATGAGCTTACCCTTGTATGCGCGCTATGAAGAAACCTGATTTCCGTTGATGTCAATTAACTTCATAAAGGAATATTATATGTTCAGAGTACTAGTGTTAAAGTTAAATTGTGACTTAGTAAGAACAATGATAGAGTATGCTCGACGACGTACATGCATTAATATTGCAATGCGTTATAGACTATCATCCAATGGCAGCAACACATCGAGATGGAATGAGCGAGAAAATTAATCTCTTATGCTGCTGCTGCTGCAACCAACACTGCCGATGGCTCTGTCAGAGTAAGCTTCTCAAGAGCATCCTCGAACTGGTCATCGTCGCTATTGTCATCTTCCTCCTCATCTTCTTCACTTTCCTGCGATGCAGACCCCTCGTCATCTGGAGATTCGTCTTCAAAATCAAGCTGTTGTTCGTGTTAGTACATCTAACTGAAGAAGATCCACATAACATACTGGATCATAGACAACTCTAATGATCAGACTGCAGCTCGGACATGTCGCGATATCCTCGCAGTTGGCAAGCTGCTTGCGAGAGATCTCGAAGCGGTCACCGCAGGGGCAGGGATAATGGTAGACACCTTTTACCTCATCCCATGCCATATCTTCGATTTCGATTTCGTCGTAATAAGCCCCCATGGCATATGAAGGGCTCGTTGCTAGATAAGTTATAACTGTCAGGACTCAGCTTAGAGCTAGTCGACTGACTCGACCATCCGCCAATTGTGGAGTCAGTGGCACGTGCAAACTGGTCTGATCCGGATTCCGCAAGCCTTAGTAGTCACGTGATACAACTGATTCCGCGCCTTTTCAGAGCAACTTAGTTACTTAGGTCACAGTCGAATGACTTCAATATTCAACCTGCGAATGTGTTTCCGCACGATTCCAGTTGCAGAGCTATGCTAATAAGTTCGAATACTGTGTTTGCTAAATGCTGTGTCAATGGTACCGCCCTAACAGGTGAGTCACAACCTTTCAAATGCCCAGGGGCCAGCATGATATCAGTGAATGTTTCACTCGTGATGATGTTGTCTTAAAAAAGTTGTATGGGTCGCCGCGTTACTGTCATACGAGCTCCTAGGATTCTGGCGCTCCGTGCTATAATGCTTTACTAATCAGATTTAAATTGAATTAGCACACATCGAACACATACGTTGTGCACACCACCTATAAAGGAGGGCAGACTTGACACCCTTGGAAAGAACTCTTGATCTTGTGGGTAACTAATTTTGGGATGGAGGTCGACTTGAAGCCTGTTATCTGCGACGATTCTGCGTGTCAACGCCCTTACTTGAGAATAAATGCACTTGACTACAGCATTTGCAAAAGGCGGTTTACGTGTGAACTCATCCGTTCAACCGTCGAGCCAAATAGAGGATGACGAGTGGAAATTCCTCGTGCATTCGGAGATCCTGGATTAATCGGCCACGCGATGATAATTCTGCTGTAGTTCCTACAAGAAGCAAAGTGAGGTTGAAAACAAAAGAGATCAAGGAGGTACGTGTCACATCAGAGAGAACCTCCCGCGCTAATGCAGTACACTAGGAATACAAACGAAAGGCCACGGCGCAGGTGAGTGTCATCGTACTGGTTCTATAGGCCACTGTACTAACTGGGTTCTTCTACTATTACAGATCAGCCCTTCTTCGACACTCCAAGGCAAGGACAGCGGGAATGAGCACGACGACTAGCGGCGGGATCCTGGCGGATGTGTGCACGATAGCATTGGCGTCGGGATGGCGGGTGGGCGCGAGGGGGAGGGATGGCGGGAGAAGCGACCCCACTATTATAATATATCCCTAATACCAGCAATTCACGGCGATACCCACCTATAACTCATTCAATAGTATTAGATCCGTATCGGTACCATTTTCCAGGCCAAATAGAACTGATCACGACGAAACGTTCGATGTCAGAAAGCGACTGCAAAGAAAAGCTAGCCGCCCTCAGCAGCTTCTGCTTCCAGTATCTCCTTCTCTAAGCGTGCACGCTCAGCTTCACGCATACGGAGGAGCGTCAACGACTCATAGTCTATCCCCGCCTTTGCAGCAGGAGGCGGCGGTGGCGGTGCCACGTCATCAAAAGCAGGCTTGCCAAACAGGAGAATCAGTGATTCGAATAGACTGACTGAGCGAACCAGACTTACAAAACTCGAGGGAAACGAACCGAATGTCGTCCCCTCCGGAGTAGGCTTTGTCGAGAACGGCTCGGCACGATTGACCGCGGGTCCTCCGAGTTCTCCGCGTTCGCGGAGCCAGCCTAGGATCGGAGGCTCAGATCCGCCTGCCCATGCCACATCCATGCCCCGCTCTTTCAGCAATTCGGCGCTCGATACCACAGCAAATGCAGCGCCCAACTGATTGAATGGCACCAGTGAGGTCACTATCGTCTCGCCGTCTACAAGTCCCTTGGACTTTTTCGACTTCTTGGCTTTCTGCGACATCACCACCGCCCCTTCATCAATCTCACCATACCGTCGAAGGTGGGCCGTGAGCGCGGATGCTGTAGAAAGTGCAGGATATGATGACAGAGCATATTTGATACGGATTGTTGTATCCAAATCACTGGGAGGCGGCGGAGCGAGGGGTTCTTCCTCAACAGTTCCGGGTTTCGTCCTCGCACATTGACGTTCCAATTCCTGCAGTTCGAGCTCCTTCTCCCTCTGCTCCCGCATTCGTCGCCCCTCCTCACGAATCCTCGTGTTTTCGCTCTCCCTCGCAGTTCTCTCCTGCTCCTTAGCCATTCGCGCCTTCTTGAATTCTTTCTCCCGCTCCTCCAATTCAGAGACCATCGCCCTACGCTTACTGTCATAGGATGCGAAGCGCTGCTTCTTGGCAGCTTGCAGACGGAGTTGTGCATCGAGCGCGAGACGGCGAAGCGGATCGAGGAGGAGGGTGGAAGCGGTCGTCAATGCATGAAATTTCTGAGCTACATTCATGTGTTAGCTACATTTTTAACATGGCTAGGTACGCACCTGCATTAGGATCATTTCTGTTCTGCAACAACATTTAGTCTCAGACTCTCGATCTTGGAATGAATAGACGTACTCTGTCTGGATGAACTTTTAGTGAGCGGGTTCGATAGGCTGTCCTAATCTCGGCTTCTGTGGCCTCCTGTGAGATTTCGAGTAGATCATATGGGTTTTGTTCTGGGTCTTCCGGAGTTTGTGGTGGCATGGATGTTGAAATTCAAACACCGTCACGCGTTGGACGGTCACTTGTTGAATGACTACTATCTCTGGCTAAACTCATAACCAGTCTTTACTACGTCTGAGGCCTCAGCGGCCGTGTTGCTGAACGACTCTGAACCTGGTCCAGCTAAATTTCGAAGACTATATCATGTTTTGGTACGGTATCCGATCCAGAAGGATGCGGAGACTCTCACATCGCATGGTAATGGTCATATTCATCTGTGCCACTGTGATATGGTTCTGGTTAACTTCGGCACCAGTCTTGAGACCGAAGAGCGCCGCCTGGACTGTCGCAGCAGAGATACTGGATATACTTGATGCTGTTGTGGACGGATATGTACACCCTGCTATGAATTCATCCGTGCAAGCAGAAGAGAGCTTTTCGACCCGCCTCCTCGAGCAAGACGCAGCTGCTCAACAACTCCTACGATATTTCTCCGACCTCTCTCGATTTGATTCATGCTTGTCGCATAGTGCTATTGACGCAACTTCCGCATCGCCTGTCATGCCATTTATTGTACCCACTTCTCAGATCCACAACGTGTCTGGTTCTCGCATCAAGCCCATCTCGTGTCTGTGCTCTTCTCTCGCAGGAAAGAGACTGACAATGGTAGGCGGCGATCATGTGCACCGCTTCCACAACCTCCTCCTTGAACACCAGAGAAGATTCGAAGGGAAACGCTTTCCATGCCTCGGGAAGGAGTTTTGTACCCACCATCATATGTGCTCACGGGCCACCCGCAACAATCCCGTCCTTAAAGAGGAGCTTATGCGCTATATCCGTTCGCCATCTACCGAAGAGCTTGTGCAAACTGGCTCATCATTGGTCAATTACGTTCTGTCGGATACTCTTCTTACCTTGCCCGACCCAGAGGCGCCAGAGTATTCCGTACCGTATATCCATGCCTTCAGTGGCGTAAGGTCTCGCGAAACGTATTGGCTAGCTTCAGCGAGGAAAGCAGACATCCTTATACTGGGAAGGGGACCGTTCAGTGCGCCGCCCTCGACGTACACAGGGAACTGGTCATTCCTTTCAGGTTTTCCATCTTACACAAGGAGCTATCGTGTGAATATCCCCTCGTTTGCATCACCGATACCAAAACTCCTTCAGATCGTGGATGCTGCAGTGCATGCTACTCTTTCAGTCTTTCTCCCTGAAATCCAGCACACGCTAGACGCACTCCGCGCCAACGGATGTCTTAACAGAAAAAAGAAAATTATTTGGTTGGTCAACCAGCCGCGACTTCCTGGGAAGGGCCACGGTCAGACAAACGCTCTTCTTCGCACATATTTGCTTCCCAGTGGACAGGGCGAGCCATCTCCCGGCGACCCCAAAGCAGTTCTCCTTCACCACCTTGCAGTGCTATCGACTGATGAGCGCCCAAAAGATTCATGGACACTTTACTACAACGTTCAAGGTATGTCGTTCAGTCGACTGAAGGTGGTATCGTCCCGAGTCGTCTGCAGTACTAATTCATGAACTTATCTCTTGCAATTGACATGTATACAGTCTACTTGCAAGACCGTCTTCTTCGTCAAGTTCTGCCACGCTTCGGAGTTCCCCTCTTGCAGTTAGGAACACACCTTGTCGAAGCTGGCCCTGGTGTTGCCGGCCCTCAGCTACAATGTCAAGGTTCACACACATAACGGGCGCGACTGGCTACCTCTTTTTCAAGGATCACGAAAAGCGACGACAAAAGTAGTATATTTCTGGGTCCTCCTGTTTGTTACAACCCCTCTGAATAATAATGGAAGTTTTTCTTGCATTCACTCTTCCTATGACGAGGATTTGGAAGCAACAGGCCCGTCAGCCAACGAACGTCGCGGCGAGCCACATAAGGAATCTATTTGTCCCGAACCGCGAGGACTCGGCCATACCGTCTTCAGAACTAACTAGAGGACGCGATGAAATTTTGATCAGTGTCTAGCTAATACTCATACTCATGTGTCAGACAGCCTAAAGTAACAATAGACGAAATAACATTAATGTACTCAACGTAGGGTTTTTCACGAACCATCGTGGCACCATCAAATTTATTAGTGTCTGTGCATTATGAATACACCTAAGCTAGATGGGAATTGGTCGGACGATAACACTAAAGACCCCCAAGAATCCGCAAATAACTTAGTGATTTGACGAATTAATGAGCCGTGTACTACAACTCGAAATGCCAGGTCGGTCATTCACAGCCCCTGAAAAGCGCTCTCAATGACAGCCAGCTGCTGTACCTTATACAACTTCCCAGTGCCTGGCGCAGACACCGCGTCTTCCTTCCTCCCCCTATACGCCACACCACCATCTACACCCAATCCCTTCAATACCTCCTCAATACGCTCCTGCACATGCTCCCATGCGCCCTGATTCCTAGGCTCCTCCTGCACCCATAGCACCTCCAATCGGGTGTTGGCATCGGAATAAGGCGTAAGCGCTTCGCTGAGCGCAGCAAAAGGGAACGGCGCGAGCTCTTCGACGCGAATGAGGGCGACGCTCGATTCGAGGTTGCGTGTTTCGCGCTCTTTTGCAAGGTCGTAGTAGATCTTACCGCTGAGCAGCACGATGCGCTGGACAGCTTTGGGGTTGGCGAGGGTTAGCGGGTCCTGGAGAACAGGCTGGAACGCTGTTCCTGGGCCCATGTCAGTCAGCTTCGACGACGCAGCCTACGTGTTTATTGTTAGCAAATGCGGGAAAGGCATTGGGATGGCACGTACAGGAAGTCGAAGTAATCCCTTAGGAGCAGCCACGATGAGTGGTTTCCTGTAGTTCCGCTTGATCTGGCGGCGTAAAAGATGGAAGTACTGTGCAGGTGTGGTCGGGAACACTACGTGCATGTTTACGTTCACCTTCTCTTGGGCAACGTAGGAATCGTTGGTGAGCTAAAAAATTGTTATTGAATATTCATTGAAACCCGAGAAATATATTTGCCTGCAACATTCGCTCTATGCGGCAACTGGAATGCTCAGGACCAGCACCATCTAGACCATGAGGGAGGAGCAGGACAATGCCGCTCTGCTTCAGCCATTTAGCTAAATGGGGACAATAAGCCATCAGCGGAAAACACGCAAGCACACAGACATACTCTCTGAACTCGCAATGAATGTGTCAATGATGATTTGTGCCCCGTTAAAGAAGTCACCAAACTGATCCATAATAAAATTCTTGAGCTTGAGGTTTGGCAGTCACAAGGAAATAACAACGCACCTGCGCCTCCCAAATGGGCAATAAATCAGGTCGTTCCCAAGATGCTCCGTATTCAAACTACAATACTGTTAGACTAAAACAACGAAGGGAGAAACGTCTTACGCCAAGTACGGCCATTTCGCTGAGAGAGCCTTCCCAAAGAATAAGACAACATACCGAACCAAAAAAAATGATACATACTATTCGCCAGTTCCAGCTTGCCCTTCGCCTCCGTAATCGCGTGGTTCAGCGGAACAATCACGCCTTCTGTCTTCTGGTCCACCAGCATCGCGTGGCTACAAGTGCGTCAGTCTCCCTTAAACACTAACGTGGCATCGACGGCACCGATGACTGAACGTCCCCCTTCCTACATCCTGCCCCGCGATGCGCACATCGCAGCCCTCAAGCATCAGCGAGCCGAACGCCATCGCCTCTGCACTCGCCCAGTCGACCCCTTCGCCGCTCTCAATGCTCCTGAGACGACTTTTCACATGTCTGTTCAACCGCGAATGGATTTCCTGCGTCGGGCGTGGCCCGTGTCACTTTTGTTCATACAAGGAATGCATAGCACTTACAAACTCCTCGGGTACATGTACGCTGGCTTTGCCAACGTCCCTTAGAACAGCACTACTCACGCCTGTCTTTTCTTCACGTGCAGCGGGAGATGCTGGCCAAACCATGCCTTTCCATGCTCCCTCAAAGCTCACGGGAGGGGGGACATATGACGTTACGTCCGTTAGCGCGGTATTCAACGCAGCTTTGTAACTGTCTCGGACAGCTTGTGCTGCTTCAACCGAGATCACGCCATCCGACTGGAACATAAAGCCGTCAGCCCTCCCGTTGAAAAACGTAAAACGGAACCCGGCGTACGATGAGCTTATCTTCATACAACTTCGGGACAGAACTCCTGGAACGAATTTTTTCGTACATGAGTGGCTGCGTGAATGCTGGTTCATCAAGTTCGTTGTGTCCCCAGCGGCGATAAACAATGAGATCGATTACAATGTCCTTGCGGAAGTGGTTACGATACTTGAAGGCGATGTCGACAGCGCGAACCACGTCTGTGTGTACTCAGATGGAAGTTGTGAGCAATGATCGAGGTAGAGACGAACCTTCGGGGGAGTCTCCGTTGACATGCAGAACTGGACAATTGATCATCTTGGCTATGTCGCTACAGTAAAAGGAAGAGCGGGCGGAGGAGGCGGGAGTGGTGTATCCGATGCTACAATGTATGTCAGTATTAATTCGGGGAAATGTGTATCGATTGACTTGTTACTGTGAGGCAGAGATTAGAACAGTAATTAAGTAGAGTTGACAGACATACTTGACGACAATGTGGACACTTCCGCCGCTTGTGAAATGTGGAAGACCACCTGTAAACATCACGTTAAACTTTTACAACTCGTGATATCTGTATCGAGGCTACGAACTCAAACCAAGGGTTTCCATTACTACTCCCTGTCCTGTGAAGCTGGCATCGCCGTGCAGCTGGACGCACATAACCTAGCGGCACATGTAAGCACATCGATCTACAAAAGAGATGCCCTGTGGTAATACCTTATCACCAAGCATGCAGTCTTGGTTATCCTTGCCACTAGATAGGGTTTTAAGTAACCCATATTGTTTCGCTCTGGCTTTTCCAAGCGCAACAGGGCTCACTGCTTCCAAATGGGAGGGATTTGGCAGTAACGAGACTTTTATACCATCAGCTTCGCCGTACTGCAATGTCGGGGATGCAACTTCAGTGATAGTCAGAACTTTCGCAGATAACAAAGGTAAGATGTGCACCAAGATGACTGAGGACGTCCCCGGAAACGCCCAAAGATTCGTCCACTTCACAACCGCCCTTTATTTTGTGGAAGAGGGAAGTAGGGTTGTATTCCAGGAGCCCTGTAAGCAGATTAAGGCGCCCTCTATGGGGCATAGCAACGATGAGCTGAGTCATGCCAGCTACGTGTGCGTTAGCAATGATCCTCGTGAACGAAATGAAACCGACCTTTGGACGCGGCCTCGAATAGGGCGTCCAATGCGGGAAGCATGGACTCCCCGCCCTCAAGTCCATATCTCTTTAAATTGGGAAACTTGACTTGTAAGAAATTGTCCAACACCTCTGACTTGGCAAGCAGGGCGTGTATGTTCTTTTGTCTATCCGCGTTGATGACAGTTATGGGCTCCAAAGCGCTCTGCGACTCCAATAGCTTCGCAAACCACAGCCTCTCCGTCTTGCTCGGGAGGTCCATATATTCATACGCGATGCGGCCAACGTAGACGGCGTTGAGGAAGGAGGTGATGTTTTCAAGGGTCCATTCCTGCTGGCCCTCACCGGTCCAGATGATACCATCTATATCGAATGTACGAGCAGGGTCGTCGAGGCCATAGCGGATAGGATCTAGTGCGGCAACCCGCTCACGACGGAGGAGGTCAAGAGGGTCGATAGACGCTGCTCTGTGACCATGCGTGCGCAGAGAGTCAGCATACCTCAGCAGTGGAGCATTGACTGCACGGTTGGTGAGCTGGTCCGAGGTATCTGATCAGGGATTCACGTGAGTAGGTACAGTGCTACTCCGACAGTACACTCACAGTCTGGGATGGTAAAGTCGCGTGCTTTTCGGAATCCGAACGATTCGTCGTGATACTTCCTGCGCACCACGAGCACGCGGCCGCTAGAGCGTTGCGTGAGGCAGGCAAGAACGTTCCGCGTCGGAAGATGGACACGACCTGCAGAGATGGAGTTCATGGGGTGAATTACCGGTACTATCAAAGACCTTGTCAAGTCTTAGCGGGGAACAATGGCAGTGAATGTGGGGAAGAGACCAGTGAGCGCGCAAATTCCGGATCGGAACCCATAATATTGATGATGAATATTAGAATGTATCACTTTTTTTTATATCCGGACTAGTCCGAAAATTTATCAATATTCGAATATTCCACACCAATTTCAGTTTAATCGACATGATATATAGGAGGAGGTCTGCTGGACAGAGGCCTAGTATCCACTCGAATGGTTATGATGGTTGATGCTAATGTAAAAGGAATCTTGCCTTCATTGCCCTTTATTTTATTTCCTTTTTAGTTCATTCAATGAGCGCTTGAACTGACGCTACGTCAGTAGCGTCGTCAGGTCGTTAATCGACCTACGTGGCCAAACCTCTTCGCTACAAACTTCTTGCTCGTACTACATACCTGCCACTCACACTTTCCTCTCATACATATAATACTCGCCTGTAACTCTCATTTCCACAAGTCAATTGATACCGATCCATGATCCGATGGGGCCCATCTTACAATCGCTGCTTCAGTCCGAACCGCCTCAGTCATCATCCGTCTTCATCTCTACGTAGACTTTGTCCCTGAACCAAACTCGGACTCAATTATCTTTCGATAAACTTAATCTGTCTAATCACCAAAGCCTTTGGTGCCTTTGTGCTTGCTTGATGTCGATATTGCAAGTTCTGCGTTGCGCACACTGCAGCACGAGCCACGGTTTGCAGCGATTCCTTCCAGTTGTGTGTGTTACTATTAATATTGGCGCTGGGCAAGGTTGCCGTTTCCAACCGGTGTGTGCATGCATGATGCAGTGACGGTGCTCTCTCACACGAGTGCCAAGTCGTCCTTCAATTGCACTACAACACCATCTAACAAGTTTTACATAGCACTGGTACTGGAACATCCATTCATCCATTCGATTTCAAACAAGTAGCTCTTACACCTTGCAATTTCAATCACTTTACGGCAAGTGCCAGAGTTTCATCATTTCATTGCCCAGCTCATCGCCCTTGAACAGACTCACTACGCCAAAACATCGTTTCACGACGTCATTACTCGCCCTCAAAACATTCAAGTTGCAGCTTGGTATTTAATCCCTAAATCAGCGTCTTCAGTTATTCCGTTCCATCTCACCATCTGTATTGTGACCATCATCATTCTTGTGTTAAGAGTGGATGTCAGTATAACCCTCTCTCGTTGTCTAACCTTATGAACAGTCATTAGATATATCTGAAGGAAAAAGAATCAGATCCTTTGGCTGCACGACACAGCAGGTGTCGGAAAGTGTCCCATCGCATTTACCATGGCAGAAAAATGAAAAGTCTAAAAGTGACAGAGCAGACGCATATAGAGACGCGACTCGCGGGAACATTCCTCTTCTCCCACAAGCACATAAAACGGCACACCACCGGTCATTTCTTTGCGATGCTTACCTATCAGCCAGTCAACTGTTTCCCCACCGTCAGGGACCTGAGGCATGTGGATAGAGCTGTCCTCGAGGACCCTGCCCTTCTAGAGCCCGACAAGTCTGTTCGTGATCAGATGGATGGAAGGCCCGTTTTTCTGATCATTCAGGAGGCTTCAAGGTAGACTACGCGAATGTGGCAGTCCACCTTTGGTGTTCGTTGTCGAAGTCCTCGATGAACGCACATCAGAAACTCGATCAATCCGCGTTCAAATCTCTTGATGAAAAAAAATCGGAAAGCGAGCCGGTCGGATTCGTATTCCTGCTCGCTCAAGCGCTTTGCGATCCTGATCTGCCCGTAGCTCGCATTCTAGTCACAAGTCGTCCGGAAGGGCATATTCGTGAAGCTATGCAGAACGAAGATGTGCACTCACTGGTGGGCGAGACCAGTGAAAATTTCTGGCAAGGGTGTTACTACCACCATCTCGCTAGACGACACAGATGTCGATGAAAAGTTTCTTGGAGGATTCCTTCAGAAATCTGCGGCTTCGCTGTTGCACTTCATCGCAGCCAATGAAGACTTTCATCGTGGCATTTACAATGACGAAGATCATCAATGACCGACACAACGATTCCTGCGACCGGCTTGAACTCATACTCGAACTGATGAGCAACCTGCTTCCGGGAACGAAGGTGTACATGCCAACGGCTCCAGCACAACTCTAAACTACAAGACCTCATTTGCTGAAAAGGTACGTGAACTTGGTGATATTGAGAAAATGAGTCGAGGGATGCGCGAAAATACGCCGGAGCGTATCATTTCCGGATCTTGTACAGTGGGAACGAGATTACCTTGGATTGCGGCTGCAATATCTGAACGTAGCAGAAGAGTAAGGATGCGGGGGGGATTGTTACAACGATGCCACTGCATCCATCCGATGATCAGCTTTTATCACGCATCGAGGTCAGGTCTAGTACTGTGATTTTTATTTCCTCGAGATCGATCGATAGGCAGCAGCCTGCGGATAACATAGATCGTTAGAAGTTGCAAAAGCAAGTGACAGTGATGGATGGTTTTCCTCCTTGCGCCATGGCAGTGGCGCTCCGCAAAGGCCGTGTAAGAGAGGATGTGAGAACCATCCATTGTCGTTGGGTAGGTCATCGAGATTGATATATGGGCCAAATACGTTGATGATATATTTTCCTTCAAGCATCCTAATAAACCATAAGCCGCTAATGACGTTGAACCATTGCTGAAGCACAGTCAACACAAAGCACGAGGCCACGTCATGACTACAGTGCATTTCCACACGAAGTGTTGCTACATCTTCAATACCGACATGGCTAAAGATGAGCGAAAACCGTCTCTTGCTGGTGTATGCAGTGAAATACAAAGAAGTCAAATTGCATGTATCAAGTCTGAAGGGGATAGATAAGGACGTTTGAGCCCGTCCTGAACTAGCCTGAAGAGTCTCCCCAAGCCGCCCATGATCCGATATTATTAGTGGGGAAAGCAACACGAAATACATATTAATATGATCGATGCTATGATAGGGATGGTATGGATGCACCGCAAACACAATATTTGCGTGCATATATACCATTCCTACCCTCCATCTCCTTCAAGTTCTATTGCGCAGAATCGAGAGAAAACATGTATCAGCTTCCCACATCAAGAGTATGAAATGGAAACATCGAAAAGTTGAACGACACCGTAGTAGACAAGGACTTCTCCCGTAACAACAGATATCAAGATGTCTGAGTGCTACCTCTATGTGATCTTACCCAAGAGTCTACCTTGTTCTTGTCTCCAGCGAGTCCATGCTCGGCCTTCAAATGTCGGCGAAGGTCATACGCGCGAGTTAAGATGTGATCACAGTGTGCTGAAGAACCAGAAAGCGGAGTTTCTGGAGGCAATAGCAGTAGGTCCTCGACGTTGGGGTATGGACACCGTATGGTTTTTGACGTTGGCATACGACTGCGGAGGGAGTAAGCATGTCCCGTGATTCGATCGATGCTCAAGTGCGCTGCTAAGCCTGCCGGTTCGTTGATGGAACAGTCGGTATCGGTATCAGTGGTTGTAGCGCCGTCTGACTCGGACGGATCTGTGACAGATTGATCGCTCCTTGTACTATGAATCTTAGCCAGGTGCCTTTCGAGGAGGTGTTTGTAGCCAAAGGCACTGGAGCAATGTTGATGTGGGCAGACATGATTTCTGTGGCCGAGATGAATCACGTTGTTGTGCGTCGTGAGGGCTTTCATCTATGCATGACGTCAGAATGGATTGAAAACAAATGTCCGTCGACGACCGTACAGATTTGAATTCTTTCCCGCACTTGTCGCATTTCCAGTCTCTGCCTACTTCTCCACCGCGTCTGCGTTTACGAGGCAAATCTGTTGCTTCCGATTGTTCTACATCTGCTAGAATGGTTTCTAACTCTTGTTGTTCGTGGAGTTTCTGATGAGCACGCAAATTGTGTTGGGAAGCGAACGTTCGTCCATGGCATGAGGAATGCATGCACGTTGGAGGATGGGTCTCGCGTATATGGGCCTGGAGGAATGTCCATGTCGGGTAATATGTAGGGTCAGTGTTAGATAAAGGTAAGCACTTCGGGTGTGTACACGTGTAACGTTTATCTGAATGAACGATAAATCGTCATCATGCACACGGATGTGAAGGTGTACGAACCATCATGAGTCTTGATGTGACCTCTAAGTTTTTGATTCGTATCGAACGATTTGCCGCACCCTGGGTGTGTGCATATGTAAGGTTTCGTACCCGGGGGTGCATGTACTTGGCAGGTATGAGATCGCAGCTGATGGTGTTTGGCAAACAGCTCGTTGCAGCCCTCTACCGCGCACTGAGAAGAGAAAATCAGTGCGGATGGCTTGGATAGTGGGGATAGCACCCACAGCATACGATTTAGCCCCACTGTGCGTATTCTCGTGCACCTGAAGGTGCTGGAGGGTCCAGAACCGTTTCTGGCATGTTGCCGATTTCATACATACATAAGGGCGTTCTGACTCAGGCAGATGGCTTTTTGCATGTGCTTGGAGATGGGATTCGCGCAAATAAGACTTTTGACAAGTCGTACAGACGTAGGGACGCTGTTTGAGCTGATTAGCACGCAGTGGGCGTAAAACGGCGTACGAGACCATGTCACCTCTCCTGTATGGGACCTTATGTGCTCTGCTAGCCTACAAGCTTTTGAGTAAGACTTTGTGCATCCAGAATACGTGCAAGGATGGCGGGCTTTCTTTGAGCAAAGCTCTGCGATATCGTAGATGGCGAGATCCTCAGTCGAAGTTGAAGTTGATGGCTCGGGTTGTGGACTCGCAGAAATGTGTAAAATATATCTGGTGGCCTTACGTTTTCCAAGGACTGTCGTTGATGACAACGAGAGCGACATTCTGATTAACCCCGTGATAGGCACACCTGCTTATTCCCGTGGAAGTGGAGTAGAACCAAGCTTGATTTACCTATAACTTGTATTTTTGCCAATCGGGGTTTGTGCGTGGATTGAACTTGTTCCCGCCCGCTCATTGCTCATGCATAGCCTGTCGGCGCCAACACGAAGAGAGGCCGTTCTGCTCATTTTCGTATTCGTTTCATTGTTATTATTCTCAAGAATAGGCTATGATACGACCGGGATCAAATTCTGGGATGTTAATAAGTCAGGCGCGTCGCCTGCACATACTTCGACGCTTGGGGAGTCTTGGAGGACACGAATAACATGGTCAAGCGGACACGTACCAAACACCCGTGTAGTGTCTCATGTCCCTGGTGCGTTCTTGCTTCAAGTCGCTTGAGCCGTCCCAGGCTGATGAGCCTCCTATAGGATGGACTATTTTTGACAACCTCTTTGTCTTGAACGGCACTGTTTTTGTCGTGACGGATTTCCCATCAAGTATTCCTGACCGTCTTACAATCACTTCCACTGCCGTGGATATTTTCAATGGTGAAGACGCTGTAAATAGTCGAACACCCGGGGACCGCGAGATGCAAATTATTTCGACTAGTCAAGCTCAAAGGTTGTTCGGTTCAAGTGCTGAGTCGATTGATGGGGTAACAGTGAGTATTCTGAACCATCATAACTTGTGTTGGCTGCTCAACCTTGGATTGTGTGGTAGTGGCTCGTAAACGATCCTCCTCAATTGTAAGTATCAGGGGCTAGCAATCAACTAAGGCTCATTTCAAATGTCAGCATCACCCACTACTATCACTGGTCGGCTGAACTCTTTTTTGGGTTCTGGCGCACGTATTCCTCATTGGATACTAGCATAGATGAGATGGGGAAATCTATACTTCCCGCTCTCCGCCGTATATTCTTTGTCCATGCGGACGCAGACCATTGGAGGGATTATGCTCTGATGAACCAATGGGTCTTGCGCAGCGCCTTCCCCTCTTTGACGACAGAATACTCTTATGACTGGGAAGATCGTGCAGCTATGGGTCGTCCAATGATATTGGATCGTGTGATCTTTACTGACCGAGCCGCTGCCATGCATGGCCATCATTTCTTGAGCACCGGGCGAACAGCAGCAGAGCCGTCTGCTTTACCTGGGAGTGCGCACTGGTGGAGTACGATTCGCGCGAACGTTATCCGCGTTTGCGGGCTGGACCCCAATGTAGTGGGTGATATGGCGCAGACGCCTGTCATTACGTACATATCGCGTCAAGAGTGGGGGCGTCGTATGCTCAAACAAGAGGATCATGAGCGTCTTGTGGAAGAGCTTCATAAGCTTCGAGACTTGTATGGGTACGAAGTGAACGTCGTGGAGATGGACAAGCTTTCTCGAGCAGAGCAGTTCGAGCTCGCTGCGCGAACCACGGTTTGTGCTAATTTTTATCTTTTAGTATGGTATGACTGACGATGGTGTTTTATAGATCATGATGGGTGTCCACGGTAACGGACTCACGTCGCTAGTTTGGATGAGGCCATCACCTCGAGCTACGGTAATGGAATTTTTCTTCCCAGGAGGTTTTGCACAAGATTATGAGTACACCACCCGGGCTCTTGGCATGGTACATTACGGATTCTGGGGTGACGAGTGAGTGCGTTTTTTTTGTCGCAGCGGTATCGTCTGATAAGTGTACAGGTACTTTACGAGTCCTGACACCCCAGAGCAGGCGTACCCTCCAGGGTTCCAGGGAACGAACATTCCTATAGATGGAGCTGTTGTGGCGAGATTGTGTCACGAGAGGCTTTTGCTCCAGTGAAATTGACTGGGCTGGTCTTTAATGAGATAGAAAACAGATCGAGTTTG